AAATCACTGCAACCCTCCCCATCCCTGTTGATGTGTGTGCAGCATCTACTCTTGGGTTTTCTTCTTTTAATAGACTTGCAGCAGTTTCCTTTTAATTGAATATCTTTATTATTTACAAAAAATTACACTGGTCAAATACAAATAAAATAACACAATCTTTTCTTCTTTCAGCCATCTGGCCAGAGACCTAATGTTGACTCATGCTCATTTATACACTGACCCTTGTTGATCACATGCCCTTTATAAAGGCTCCTGTTGCTGGGTAGATTTTTCTGTTGCCTAGCAACCTGTTCAAGACCAATTCTCAAGTTCTTTCTAGAATATTCCAACATCCCTGCCCATATGACCTGGGTTGCTGTGCGTAAGAGAAACCTGGTGGACAAGCAGCAGCTAAGACAGGCCCATCTGCTTCATCCAACCAAGTCTCTGTTACGCATGCCAGGTCAAGTCCTCCATCCACAATCAAGTTGTGGATGATAGCTGTCTTGTGAATCATTGACCTGGCATTGCACAGCAGCACCTTAAGATCATGTGGGTCTCCCTTACTGATTCCAGTATCTTTCCGGTCAAGACCAGACCTGGAGGCAGGAGTAGTCTTCAAACGACGACTAAACCTGCCTCCTCAGTAATGACATGGTCTGGTCTTATCATGACTCCTTCTCCTGCCCATGATCTCTGAAATCAGATGTCCCAGTGCATCCCCCTGCCACGATGGAACCTGCCCCAGCCATTCTGTTGGCTGGGGCCCACACCCAGGCAGCCCTGACCCCCTCTCCTTCAAAACAAAATACAAACTATACAATAAAACAGTAGAAACTGTTTTTTTTTAAAGCATTTATGCTACAACTAAACTAGTCCCCAGCCCCAACTACTGTAGATTCCGGCATATAAGACGACTTTTTAACCCCAGAAAATCCTCTAAAAAGTCGGGGGTCGTCTTATACGCCGGGTATGGGTTTGCTGGGCAGCGGCAGCTGGCTCCATGCCAGGAGGACGCCGCCCAGTGATGCTAAGCAGGCTTCGCTGGGCAGCTTCCTCCCAGCGCGGCGCGCCATCCGCCACCCACTGATGCTGCGTATTAGGCAACTGGGCGTATAGGTCGACCCCTCAAATTGGCAATTTGGGGAGTCGTCTTATACGCCCTGTCGCCTAATATGCCGGAATCTACGGTAAACGTTTATCCCACCCACAACAGAGCAAAAAAACCCAAAACAAAACCCCAAAACATTTAAAACGCCACAGATTTAAAACTATTTAATAACATTGCAAAGCATTTTCGGTGGCAGCAATGTCCCAGTGGCCTCTCAGGAGCCTTTTAGCTGTTCTGGGTAAGTGTGGTCCCTGTCCCCTAGGCCAGGTGGAAACGGGCCTTGCAGCAGGGAGCAGGTCTTCCTTCCAGCACTCACGTCAGCTTCTGAATACCAGTTGCTGGAAATCGCCAGCGGGGAGAGTGCCCTTTGGGGCATCTGGCCTGTGAGAAGAGGATGCTGGACTAGATGGGCCACTGTCTTGATCCAGGTGGTCTCTTCTTAGATTCTTGTGGGCTTAGGTGCTTCTGTGTTTAATCAGAAGCCTTCTAAGCAAAGTGAGTAATGAAAACAGTACGTTTCTTACTTACAAGGCTTCCAGTGAAGTGGAGAGACAAATGACCTTGGAAACATCTGGCAGTTGTTATCTGACTCCAACTTATTTGGGAACATTTCTGAGGAGGAAATATATTCTTATCACAGCAGAATGATTTGGCCTCTGATTTGTTCCTTCACCATGGGGTTTGTTCACAATGGCCAAACATTTAGGATTCACGCACAGGGGCCACTGCACCTGGCTCAACAACTGAAGAAAGCTCAACAACTTTGGCTAAAAAGGTGGCTGGTAGTCTCCTACATAAAAATAAATAACAGCAGGTTAACTTCAAATGTACCTCTGGTCTTGTTGCCTGTATCAGTAACTAAAAATATGAAACCAGGCAACTGATGATTGTTGGGGTTTTTTAACCTTCATGCTATAGGCATGCAAACAAATGTTTTCGTTTCATTCCATATAATTATTTTTGCCAACAACAACAACAAAATTGTTAGCAGGCTTTAGTCATGTTTGGAATGGGCTACTGCTTTGAATTGGGCACTGAGAGTCTATCCCAGACTTCCCTAACTTGGTACCCTTCAGACGTTTTGGCAGTCTGATAAATCCAGCCAAAGGCAGGCAGAGCCAGAGTTTGGCTGCTGCCCAGGTGAAGGCCCCAACTTTGAAGCATTTAGAGCCTATCTGGGATCAAAGGAACCAAAGGGCTATGGGACACGTTGGTGATGGAACCTGGGAAGACAATACAGACTTTTTTTTTTAATAAGATATTTATTGAGATTTTCAAAATGTTACAAAATAAAAATAAAAAAGAAGAAAATACAAAATAAAAATGGTTAAAAACAACTCAATCTTTCCATTACTTATTTTTCATTAGCTTGTTTCCCGGACCTCCTCACGCCTCCCTTTTTTGTATTCCAGTTCGGTTTGTTGGTTCAGCAAATACGTACCCTCTTTGTTTATCCTAGTCTTTAATCTTAAAATATTGTAACGTTAAATTTTTACCTATTAATAATCCATTTTTCATATTCCCTTATAGTATTACAGCTGAAAACCACTTAATTTCTATCCAACATCATTCTAACATTCATTAATTTTACAATATTTCTGTAGATAGTCTTTAAATTTCTTCCAATCTTCTTCCACCAACTCTTCTCCCTGGTCTCGGATTCTGCAAGTCATTTCCGCCAGTTCCATATAGTCCATCACCTTCATCTGCCATTCATCCAGAGTGGGTAGATATTGTGTCTTCCAATACTTTGCAATGAGTATTCTTGCTGCTGTTGTGGCATACATAAAAAAAGTTCTGTCCTTCTTTGGCACCAATTGGCTGACTATGCCTAGGAGAAAGGCCTCTAGTTTCTTCAAGAAGGTATATTTAAATACCTTTTTCAATTCATTATATATCATCTCCCAGAAAGCCTTAATCCTTGGGCACGTCCACCAAAGGTGAAAGAATGTACCTTCAATTTCTTTACATTTCCAACATTTATTATCGGGCAAATGATAAATTTTTGCAAGCTTGACTGGGGTCATGTACCACCTGTATATCATTTTCATAATATTCTCTCTTAAGGCATTGCATGCCGTAAACTTCATACCTGTGGTCCATAACTGTTCCCAGTCAGCCATCATTATGTTATGTCCAACATCTTGTGCCCATTTAATCATAGCAGATTTCACCGTTTCATCCTGAGTATTCCATTTCAACAGCAAGTTATACATCTTTGACAAAATCTTAGTTTTGGGTTCTAACAGTTCTGTTTCTAATTTTGATTTTTCCACCTGGAAACCAATTTTCTTGTCCAAATTATATGCCTCCATTATCTGATAATAATGAAGCCAGTCTCACACTTTGTTTTTTAATTTCTCAAAACTCTGCAATTTCAGTCTATCTCCATCTTGTTCCAAAATTTCCCAATATTTTGGCCATTTGACCTCCATATTGAGCTTTTTCAGAGCTTTCGCTTCCATCGGTGACAGCCACCTTGGGGTTTTATTTTCCAATAAGTCCTTGTATCTTATCCAAACATTAAACAATGCTTTCCTGACAATATGGTTTTTAAATGCTTTATGTGCTTTGACCTTATCATACCACAGATATGCATGCCATCCTAATACATTGTTAAAACCTTCTAGGTCCAAAATGTCAGTGTTTTCAAGAAGCAGCCATTCTTTCAACTAGCAAAAGGCTTCTGATTCATAGTAAAGTTTAAAGTCTGGCAGGGCAAATCCACCCCTTTCCTTTGCATCAGTTAATATCTTAAATTTTATTCTGGGCTTCTTGCCCTGCCAGACAAATCTAGAAATGTCTCTCTGCCACTTCTTGAAGCAATCCATTTTGTCCACAATTTGCAATGTTTGAAACAAAAACAACATTCTAGGCAATACATTCATTTTTATCGCAGCAATACAACCCAGCAGTGAAAGCTTCAAATTTGACCAAATTTCTAAATCTTTTTTCACTTCAGCCCAGCATTTTTCATAGTTGTCTTTAAATAGATTCCCATTTTTTTGCTGTCATGTTAATCCCCAGGTATTTCACTTTCTTAACCACTGTTAAACCTGTCTCATTCTGAAACCTCTCTCTCTCAGTCGGTGTTAAGTTTTTCTCTAAAACCTTGGTTTTTAACTTATTCAGTTTAAATCCTGCAACCTGACCAAATTCTTGAATCAGTTCTAAAACCCTTTTGGTACTAGATTCTGGCTCCTGTAACGTCAATACTAAGTCATCTGCAAATGCTCTCAATTTGTACTGTTTAGCTCCGACTTGTATACCTTTAACCAACTGGTCCCTTCTAATCATATTCAGCAAAACCTCCAGGACCGATATAAAAAGCAATACAGACTTTTTTTCCAGGTCCCCCATAAAGGGTGCTGGTGGTGGGTAGACTAGGAGACTGAAATCTGCATCCTAGCTGATACAATTAAATCAACCCCTGCTCCACCATCAAAGCGAAAGAGTCCTTGAAGCTGTATGTCATCTTGACATTATCTGGCACTTAATTAAATGGACAGTAGTGGGGTGGATTACATGCCGAGAACATCACCTTCTCTTCATTCACCCACAAACACCATCTGTTGGAAAATAAAACCTGCAGATTTATATGGCCTTGTACCGTCTCCTGCCTTTCTTTCTTACAGAAAGTCTGTCGCTTAGCAGCAGAGAACAGGAGTTGAATGTGCAAGGTTCTAGGTTTAATGCCCCAATGTTTCCAGGTGGGCTGAGAAACAGGCCATGTCAGAAAGCCTGCAGAGGGCTGTCCGTCAGCAAGGCCAGTACCAAACTGCTTGAACCTATGGCCTGACTCACTATAAGCCAGTGTCCTCTGTTCCTTCTTCACTCGTGCTAAGATTTTATTTTTATTTCCTCCCTTTTTGAAGATCTCGACACCTGAACTGACCTTCCAAGAGCTGATATGTTGTCCTGTAAACAAACATGGCACACTGCATTCCACCTCCACCTCCTTGTTCATTTCTTGGCTGAAGGTGCCACCAGAGTCTACTACCTGGGCATCCGTGAAGTGGACTGGAACTATGCTCCCTCGGGGAAGAACACCATCACAGGACAAAGCATAGCAAATGATATGTGAGCTTCATTTCTTGGTTTACTAGGTCCTGGCTTAATAACTTAGTTAGCTCTAGCCACTTCAGAGTTTCATATTAAAAAAATGGAGGATAATGCATTCTTGATATGTATCTGGTCTTGGTTGGTTTAATGGTTAATGCCAAGTTACCTAAGAAACAGGAGAATTACCAAGCTTCAGTAGTGTAACATACAAAATACCAGGATGTGATTTAACCCATGACTCTTCAGATGCTGGATACAGTTTCCATCATCTCTGACCGTTGGCCATGCTGGCTGGGGCTGATGGGAGCTGGAGTCCAAGATGTCTGGAAGGTCCCAGGTTGAGAAAAGCTGGTCAAACCTATGTACCCAAATAACCTGAAGGTGATGGGAAATCAGTCATGTATTGCAGCAATAATGAGGCATCTGTAAGTTCTGCTCTGGTGGTTTATTGGCAATGCTGCCCCTCACACACACACGCACAAGCAGAAATTTCTGTGTGTAGCACTGACGCCACTGCCATGACATTTAAGAGCTGAGGGGGACAATATATTCTGTCCAATGTTTGCCAGCAGATTGAGTTTCCCTGCTTGAAAAGTGGGTGCTGAAATTCCAAATTCAAAACAGTAATAAATAATTGCATTTATTCAAAATCTGATTAAAACTATTCAATTTAATTATTTCAACAAAATTGACTAACTTGATCCAGTGATACCAGCTTTTCAAAGTCTGATAGACGTTTAGGCTGCAACACCCCCTTGCCATCCCCATGCCCCTCAGGGAACCCCCATCCTGGTGTTGCTCACTTTGGGAGCCACTGGTCTATCCCAAAAATAACCTTCCTGAAGCCATCTGTGAAAATATTAAAGGAGATTAACACCCCCCCCAAAAGCAATGTAATTCTGGATTTTTTTCAGTTCCCTTTTTTATACCGTATTTTTCAGCCTATAGGGCGCACTGGCCTATAGGGTGCACCTCGTTTTTTGGGGGGGCATGAATAAAAAAAAAATATTCCCCCCCCCCCAGCCACGGGGCTGGGGCAGGGGAAGCCCAAGCTTCCCCCGACACCACCCCCAGAACAGGCTGCTATCCGCAAGCCTTGCGAGCCCCGCAGCAACTCCCGCTGGGCTTGCAAGGCTTGCGGACACCTGCGCGAAGCACGGGGCGCCCTCCAGAGGGCGCCCCGTGCTTCGGGCTGCAGGCTGCTGCCCACACGCCTTGCGAGCCCGCGGGAACTCCCTCTGGGCTCACAAGGCTTGCAGATAGCTTCCTGAAGCCTGGAGAGCGAGAGGCGTCGGTGCGCACCGACCCCCCTCGCTCTCCAGGCTTCAGCGAAGCTCTGCATTCGCCCCATAGGACGCACACACATTTCCCTTTCATTTTTGGAGGGGAAAAGGTGCGTCCTATAGGGCGAAAAATACGGTATATAAAAAAATCAATTCAAGCATTTGCACAGCTGGTTCAAGGGGCACCCTGCTGGCTGGGGTTGATAGAAGTTGGGAGTCCAACATCTGGAAGTGTGAACGAGTTGTACATGTCCAACCACTCTTCAGGTACATGTATGTTTTAGACAACTTAGAGAATGGCTGCACTTCTGAACATTGGTATACAGGACTTTTGGCTGGTGTAGGTTGTTATGCAAGGGACAGAGAGAAATTGTATCTATTAGAATTCAATTTTCTGTATCAGTAAAAGATACAAGAGATTGCCTTTCCCACGGGGGAGGGAGATGGTTTCACCTCTGTCCTCTCCCCACTTGTCTGGAATCATCATAAACTACCCCCCACCCTACCCTCTGCATCCAATACTCAAAATCTCCATAGTCTGACATTCATTCATTCATTTTATTTGTATCCTGCTTTTGCGCGCGCGCGCACACACACACACACACACACAAACAAACACCATGCTAAAAGTGGCTTGCAACAAAGAAACAGATGCATTTCGAACAAGCACTGCAAAAACCAATAATATAGTAAAGCAACAGCAAATATAATAACATATCAAAAAAACCAAATTCTAATACTATACATATAACAAGATTCACCCGAAGCATAACAAGGTAGCTTCACACTTTCACCTTAGTCCTAATAAACACCCCTCCCATGATGTTGCTCACAGCCCATCTCCTGCAGCAGTTTCCAAGGGCAAAGGGTGGGGTAGCTGGAAACACCCCTCCCAAGATGTTGCTGTGCACATTAATGGCTGTGCACCTCTAACCTTCAAAATAGAGATAAAAAGCACGTCACTGCTTGGCTGGACTTAGGACTCCCACTGCTTGCTTTAAATTTGATAAAAGGGACGTGGGTGGCGCTGTGATCTAAACCACTGAGCCTAGGGCTTGCCAGTCAGAAGGTTGGTGGTTCGAATCCCCGTGACGGAGTGAGCTCCCGTTGCTCGGTCCCTGCTCCTGCCCACCTAGCAGTTAAAAAGCACGTCAAAGTGCAAGCAGATAAATAGGTACCGCTCCGGCGGGAAGGTAAACAGCGTTTCCATGCGCTGCTCTGGTTCGCCAGAAGCGGCTTAGTCATGCCAGCCACATGACCCAGAAGCTGTCTGTGGACAAACTCCGGCTCCCTCGGCCAGCAGAGCGAGATGAGCGCCGCAACCCCAGAGTCGGCCACGACTGGACTTAACGGTCAGCGGTCCCTTTACCTTTACCTAGTAACCTGCCAGAGCAGAATTCTTGCCAAGAGGTATGTGACTGCTAATCTGATGTAGTAAAGCACACCTGAGTTTCTTAAGAAGAACATACTCAGGATTTATTAAACCAGTGGTTTAGTTTCATTAATTGCACATTTATTTAAAGCCCAATTAAAACTTTTTAGTTTGAGTGATTCAACAAAACTGATAAACTTGATCCAGTGATGCCAGCTTTTCAAAGTTTGATAGCCATTTCTACCTCCATTGCCTCCCTGCCAGCTCCTTGTCTCTTAGTGTCAACTAGGAATCCCGCCCCCCCCCCCCCCCACCCCTGGGGAAGGTACCATCCAGTCTGGGAACTACTGTACTAAACCCATTTTTAAAAGTGGGTGGGATGTTTTTAATATACAGTGGTACCTCAGGTTACATACGCTTCAGGTTACATACGCTTCAGGTTACATACGCTTCAGGTTACAGACTCCACTAACCCAGAAATAGTACCTCGGGTTAAGAGCTTTGCTTCAGGATGAGAACAGAAATTGTGCCCTGGCGGCGCAGCAGCAACAGGAGGCCCCATTAGCTAAAGTGGTGCTTCAGGTTAAGAACAGTTTCAGGTTAAGTACGGACCTCCAGAACGAATTAAGTACTTAACCTGAGGTACCACTGTATTTCTTTTCCCTCTTGGTTTTAATGTATCTATGTTGGTTTTTTTGGTTGGGTGGTTGTAAGCCACTCTGGGTTGCTCTGGGCAAGATAAAAGGTAAAGGGACCCCTGACCATTAGGTCCAGTCGTGACTGACTCTGGGGTTGCGGCGCTCATCTCACTTTATTGGCCGAGGGAGCTGGTGTACAGCTTCCGGGTCATGTGGCCAGCATGACTAAGCCGCTTCTTGCGAACCAGAGCAGCGCACAGAAACACCGTTTACCTTCTCACTGGAGTGGTACCTATTTATCTACTTGCACTTTGACGTTCTTTCGAACTGCTAGGTTGGCAGGAGCTGGGACCGAACAACGGGATAAAATGACTAATAATAAGATAAAATAACTAATAATAAACAAATAAAACACAAATTTTCTTCTCTCTGCCTTGCCTTAAAAACAACCAGCTGTGCACACAGATAGCAGGAGAGATGTATCAGCACATATGAAAATTGCCACCAATATTGTCATTGTTGTCCCCCCTTCCTTTTCAGGATAGCCTCTAGCTTTCTCCAGCCTGCCGAGAACAGAATTGGCAGCATCTACAGGAAATCTGTGTATAAGCAATACTTAGATGAGACGTACACATCAGAAATACCCAAACCCTCCTGGCTGGGATTCCTTGGGCCCATCATACGAGCCGAAGTGGGTGACACCATCATTGTACACCTGAAGAATTTTGGAAGGCGACCATTCACCATTCACCCTCATGGTGTCTTCTACAAGAAGGACTCAGAAGGTAAATATTTTGATAAAGAGCTAAAATTGATATAAATTGAAAACATAAAAATAAACAAGTTTCCTCTCACCTCTGCTTTCGTGGATGTTTCTACATGAGTTGGCATGTTGCATATGATGCTTTTATTTATCTATATATTTATTTATTGCATTTTTACTCCACCTTTTTTCCAGGGAGCTCAAGGTGTACATGGGATGCAATGACTGGCCCAAGGTGATCCAGTGAGCTTTTGGGCTGAGTGGGATTTGAGCCGTGGTCTCCTAGGTCCTAGTCAGACACTATAACCACTGGCTCTCTAATCCTTGGATGATTTAAAAGCAATTCATAGTGGGGTGTTAAGTTTGAGAGGCTGCTGTCAAAATGGAAGCTCTCAAAGTATACTGTTATAGGTTGGAGTGTTAATGCTGTGATGTGAGCCCCTCCATCCCATGCTCAGATTGTATATATGTGTAAATAAAAACAAATATTCTATCAACAAAGTCTGTTTATTTTCATTCCAATGGAACTGAACCCTGGCTAAGTACTGGCACCCCTGCAGTCTCTTGAAACTCAGAAGTTGGGGTTGTGTGCAACAGTACTATCCATGGAAGATTAGGCTGCTAGTAGCTTCTAGCCATGATGGCTGTGCTCTGAATACCAGTTGCTGGAAATCGCCAAAGCGGAGGGTGCTCTTGCACTCGAATCCTGCTTGTGAGTTTCCCAGAAGAGGCGTCTGATCAGCCACTGTGAGAACAGGATGCTGGACCAAATGGGCCACTGGCCAGATCCAGCAGGCTCTTCTCAAGGCTAATGCAACTGCATTAAATGGAAATTGTACTGAATGGATACTGCAATTTCTCAATTTTTCCAGGATCCCTATATCCTGACGAGTCCTCTTCCCAAGACCTTAAGAAGGATGATGCCATCCCCCCAGGCAGGAACCACACATATACTTGGACTGTTCCTGAGGATCATGGCCCAACGGATGATGACCCAGCCTGTTTAACATGGATCTATCATTCTCATGTTGATGCAGCAAAAGACATTGCCACTGGCTTAATTGGGCCGCTGCTGATATGTAGAGAAGGTAAGGCTGCCCTTGGGAAAAGATTGCTTAGTTTCATAGCTTATTTTTGAAATTATACCACAAACAGTGCAATAGGCCACAAGTACCTTTCCTGAATTGTTCCTCAGTTCAGGTTTAAATTGACTGAAACAAGCTTCTAGACCATATTCAGCCTGGCAGTTTAAATGAAAGAAAGAGGTCAGGGGTTGTAACATGCCATTTGCAGAACTGGAAATGAAAGAAGCAAGGCCCATAGGCCTTGTTTTAGGATAAATATATATAATATGTTGTTTTATTTTCTTGTTTGGGTGTTATTGGTTTTTGAACTCATACAGAGGTGGCAAGATATCAGGGCTCGGCCACAGTTCCATTTGCCCTGCCACTTTCCTCCAGTTAGAGTGGCCATCACGCTGGCTCTCAACTGAATGTGATTTAAATGTATGAAGTGGATTTGCACTAAATGGTGGCACTTGCTGCCTGGAGGAGGGATGCTGCTCACCACTGTGTGAAGCCAGCCCCACAGTCCTTCGCCAGACTTGCTTTGAGAGCAGAAGTGTGTGTTCCCTCAGGGCTAAGAGAGGTGGGTTTTCTTGAAAGTAGGAAGAAATCCAGCATGCTCCCCCTACAGCATCAGGCCTCCTGGCTCCTTGTACGGAAGGCTCCTTCCGTTCACTCCTATCTTCTCCGGGCCCAGGGACTCTGAAGAGCGTTTCTCAAAGGCGGCATGACGCGGACCTCGATTTCTTTCTGATGTTCAGCGTGGTTGACGAGAATGAGAGCTGGCACCTGGATGAAAACATTGCCTCCTTCTGCGGAGATCCAAGCACTGTTGATGAGGAAGACGAGGGGTTCAGGGAGAGCAACAAGATGCATGGTGAGTGCAGTTGGGCAGGACCTTTTCTTGACCTCTGTTTATAACCAGGTAGGGACAGCTGTAACACACCCTCTCCGGATCAAATAAACTCAGAGATCATACAGAACAGAGATGTATTAACTTCAGGGCTGCCAAACACAGAAAGAATTATAACTGATTAAAATGACTGACTGACTGACTGACTGACTGATGGATTGTCTTCCCTTAAGCCTAAATTCCCAAGGCATGTTACAACATTGAAACAACACTGAAAACAGTTTGAAACAACTTACAATCATAAAAATAAAGTGACTCCTAAAAAATATACGCCTCAGGTGTCAGATAAAGAGGTGTGTCTTCAGCATCCTCTGGAAGTTGTATAGTAAAGTGCCAGGGGAGCCTCTGTGAGGAGGGAGTCCTGCAGCTTACAAGGCCCCCTCCCCCTGGGATACCCCTCCCCAAGCCTCTGAGAGTGGAGGAAAGTGTTAGCCAGTGTGGTGTAGTGGTTAAGAGCGGTACGCACGTAATCTGGGGAACCGGGTTCACGTCTCCGCTCCTCCACATGCAGCTGCTGGGTGACCTTGGGCCAGTCACACTTCTTTGAAGTCTCTCAGCCCCGCTCACCTCACAGAGTGTTTGTTGTGGGGGAGGAAGGGAAAGGAGATTGTTAGCCGCTTTGAGACTCCTGAAGGGGAGTGAAAGGCGGGATATCAAATCCAAACTCTTCTTCTTCTACTTCTTAGTCACTTCTCGTGACTTGACAGTAGGGAACACAATACAAGGGTGGCAAGTAGGATCTCTCATCATCCTTAGCAACTGTATCTCGTCCACAGGTTTGCCACTGGAGCACCAGTGAATGAACATCATGTGAACAGGCCATTCTGATAACCTTCCACCCTAGCCTGTTCAGCCACAGCTTTCATTCTTTCACATGTACAACTAGCTCTCTCATATGGGTACTGCCATAGGGAAACTCATGCCTAATACTTTATGAAAGCAAATGTGAGTCTAGGAACGCTGTATTGGGAAACAACACAACCCAAACCACTCAGTTATACAACTTCACAGGAGTTACACAACCATTGGTGAGTCACAATGTGCCTCCAAACTGCAAAACAGAAGGAAAATTAAGCAAATCTATTAATATTGGAGCATTACCAAAAAAAAAAAGTAGGCAGAAGGTATTTAAATTATGTACATATTAACAGGATACATTGAACCTGTGGACCTCTGTCTTTGCTTTATTCAAACCTCTGCTGTTCTTTGAAACCACCATTTTAAACTGCCCTTCTCTCACCCTGACTTTATGCAAATCCAGGATTGTGATGAGGCACTGTAAATTCTCCAGTTGCACAGTAACAGCCTTACATTTTTATGAATATAGGATGCTACATATATGTACACCCACACACTGATATGAAACCCCATTTTCATGTTAACATCTTGATCTCTATTTCTGCAGCAATTAATGGTTACGTGTTTGGGAACCTCCCCAAGATGACCATGTGTGCTGGGGATCATGTGTCATGGCATCTTTTTGGGATGGGCAATGAGATTGATATCCACACCGTCTTCTTCCATGGACAGACCCTGATTGTCCGGGGTCACAGGACTGACGTGGCCAGCCTCTTCCCAGCCACTTTTGTGGCAGCAGAAATGATCCCTCGCCACATTGGGAAATGGCTGCTGAACTGCGCGGTCCATGATCACCTGCAAGGTAAGGCAGTCTCCCAGACTGAGTTCCCCTTGCAACTGTGATCACTAGTTCTTCGCTGAATTCCTTGCCCATGACAACAGAAATTGGGTGAAATATACTCAGAGTCGAGTGTGAATTTCATGCTCTTTATGCAGCTCATAGTAGCAATGATGAAACTTTCCCCAAAACTTCTAGCTATATATACATTATTTACATAATGGGCCCCGCATGATTGGCTAATTCTGGGCTGCTCCTGTAGGCCAATCAGGTTGTGGATTCACTTCATACAGAAGCTTGATTGGCTGCTCCTGCAGGCCAATCAGGTCGCTGATTCACTTCCACCTGGAGCTGGATTGGGTGGCTCCTGTGGACCAATCAGACCACTGCATTCTGGATCCTATTGTTCTAGGATTCAGCTCAGTACGTAACATCAGGCATATGGCTGGCTGGATCAGTATTTTCTTTTTCACAGATGATGTAAATAGGCCAGCCATGCCCGGAATTCTCCAGATGTTTTCGGCTGCAGCTCTCATCACCAGATAGTGATGGAGGCAGTGTTGTCCACCACCCTAGATGGGTTTTAAAGTGGATTGGACAAATTCATGGAGGAGGAGAGGGCTATTGATAGCTGATAGGCTGGCTATGCTCTGCCTCTGTGGTTGGAGGCAGTAAATGCTTATGAATACCAGTTGCTGGAAACCACAGGGAGAGAGAGGGCTCTTGTGCTTGAATCCTGCTTGCAGGCTTCCTGTAGACATCTGGCTGGCCACACTGAGAACAGGATGCTAGACTAGGTGGGCCACTGGCCTGATCCAACAGGCTTTTTTTTTTTTTTTTACATTCTTAGTCATAGGACTCCAGCTCAACTAGACTGTAGCCAGGGCTGAGACACCATATTAGCTTCTGCCCAACCATGTACTTCAGAACTCCTCTTCGAATTCCTGAACTGTGTAATGTGTAACTTGATCTAGGTATATGCCATGCAGTCGTTTTTGGGAATCACACCTTCAGGGACAATTGAGCGGAGAGGGCTCATCCATGCTTACCTTTCGTTCTGTGTTTTCTGGGCACAGGTCCACTCTTTAAAGCGCCATGTCCAGGCACTTTTAAAAACTTTTTTACTTCTTTTGCCCTGGCATATTTCCCAGTAAAACCCACCCTTTATCAGAGCGATTGGGTTTTCTGCAGATTTGCTGTTTGCTCTGATTCTTCTGTAAAGAGTGGGTTTTCCTGTGGAAAACGCAGGACAAAAAAAGGATGGGGGGACCTCGAACGCAGCACTTTAAAACATGGACCTTTATCTAGGTAAGTTTTAAGTGCTGTGTGGGTGTGGGAGCCAAGATAGGAATATATGTGTGCTGCCAGCAATCACTAAGGGTACAAGGATGGATTTTTCATACAGGACAAAGCATGAAAGCTGCATCTCTCTTACTACATATGAACGAATTGAGAAAAATTGGTCTCTAATAACTATGATTAAGTTAATCTACTACAAAAGAATATATGTGGGAAGCCTATGGTGGGAAAAATTAGTAATGTTTTGGAACAGTAAGTTTAATGGTAGTGTTCCACCTAATGCTTCTTTTGACCTGCTGTAACATGAGTACAGCATGTTTGCATCTTGCACAGGGGTCACGCTCCAGGGGTGGCGTGTATATGCAAAAATATGTATGCTCTAACCACCCCCTTGGAATGGCCCCTGCATGAACAATCTTACCTTCTAGAGCTGGTGCACCAAATGGACATTGCCCCACAAGCAAGGCAGGGAGCATTTAAGCTCTCTGCCTTGCTAACTGCGTTCTAGGAGGCTCTTCTGAGATCTTGTGGGTCCATCTGAGTTCCCACAAGGTCTCCCAAGAGTATCCCTGAGCCCAGCAGGCAAGTCTGAGAGGTTAGACACTTTTTCTGCACTAGGAAAGCACAGCTCAAAAGGTGCTTTTAAGCTCTCTGCCTTGTATGCATTTAATTTGCACAGTTTCAGCCAGCCTGGGTTCAACCTTTTAAGGATGAAATTGTGCATGTTGATCACTCTCAAGATGTGATCATACGGTATTTCTTTATGCTTCTTCCCTTGTGTATATAGACTACAAAAAATGTTTTTTAAAGTGAAATAGAGTTTGGAAGTTGAATCTGTGGTGGGGAACAGGATCTGACTGTTGGGCTGCTCCTGGCCTCCCCTGCCTCCATCACTCCCAACCTGCAGGCTGTTTTGACAAGCAGGCCAGTCTGAGTGTGTTGTGCTCTGTTCTGCTTCCTACAGCTGGGATGGAGGCTCTCTATGAAGTCAGGAACTGCTCCTATCAGAATCCAGAGCCTGCCCTGAAAGGGAAACTTCGCAAATACTACATAGCGGCAAAGGAAGTTCAGTGGAATTACGGACCCTCAGGGTTAGACCTGGGCACTGGGGAAAGCCTGCTGCAGCCAAACAGGTAAGGGGGCTTTTATTTGTGGATTTCCTGCTCTGCTTGAGAATGCATTTACACAGTGCTGAAAGGGGGTCCCCATCGCACAGGAGACTTTAACTTTTCAACAGAGTAGCTAAACCTGCACTTTTCAAGGCGCTACAGTGTGGCATGTTGCCCCAAGAAACGAAAATGTTTTTTGAACCAAGCTTCTTTGTAATGTGGTAGGTCAGGTTTTGAATTTGGGTACTCATACAGCAAATATATAGGACACGAGTGGCGCTGTGGTCTAAACCACAGAGCCTAGGGCTTGCCGATCAGAAGGTCGGCAGTGCGAATCCCCGCGATGGGGTGAGCTCCCGTTGCTCGGTCCCTGCTCCTGCCAACCTAGCAGTTCGAAAGCATGTCAAGTGCAGGCGATAAATAGGTACTGCTCTGGTGGGAAGGTAAACAGCATTTCTGTGCGCTGCTCTGGTTCGCCAGAAGTGGCTTAGCCATGCTGGCCACATGACCTGGAAGCTGTACGCTGGCTCCCTCGGCCTATAGAGCGAGATGAGCACTGCAGCCCCAGAGTCGTCCACAACTGGACCTAATGGTCAGGGGTCCCCTTTACAGCAAATATAAAGCAGCTTAAAAATGGTTAACCGTAGCAGTTTGTCGGCTAGTCCACCTCCCTCCTGCAATTAGAAATAGCAGCAAGTGGATAGACACCTGGGCTCCTTTGGGAGGAAGGGCAGGATAAAAGTCTAATAATAACTAAATAAAAATAATGGTGATAATACCCCAGACCCCTAATCATGGGAATTGTAGTCTTCTGCAGATCCTGAGAGCTCCCTATCCCTTTTAAATCCCTGTGTCCCAAGGCTGGGAGGTAGAGCAGGCCAGCGGCCCTTCTAGTCCAGCATACTATTCTGACCAGATGCCCCAAAGGGAAACCCGCAGGCAGGACCTGAGCACAAGAGCACTTTCCTGTGGTTTCCAGCAACTGGGAATCAGGAGCATAGCAGCCTCCAGCTGAAAACACAGCATAGTTATCCTGGCTGGTAGTTATCAGTTGCCCTGTGTGAAGAACTCCTTATCTGTCCTGAGTCTCCCAACATTCTCCTTCATTGTCAGCCAGTTCTAGTGTTAAATTGTGAGAAGGGGATAAAAACTTCTCTCTCTTCACTTTCCACAGACCATGCATAATTTTATAATCTTCTATTATGTCACCTCTTACTTGGCCCAGGTGCTGCAACCTTTCTGCATTATAGACCTGGGTATAGTGTTTTTTTAATGAAATAATGGGATGGATTATGCTTCCTTGGGAAACAGAACACTGGGTACATGTTTACAAAGCAACAGCTCTGTGTCCTTGGGGATAGTGGGGCTGCTCTGCAGTTGCTTTTTTGATGGTGTTTTAAGATTACTGAACAGTTGCGCTTTCTCATCCCATCTGCCAGCTGCCCTTTATCTGGGCATAGCTGTCAACTTTTCCCTTTTCTTATGAGGAATCCTATTCAGAATAAGGGAATTTCCCTTAAAAAAAGGAAAACATTGACAGCTATGTGTCTCGGTTTCTTCATTTAAAGCTGGGGGTTCTGGGTGAGCCTCTCTACCCAAATCTTGATTTGGGTGTGAGCTACTTCTCTTAATTGTCTTACTTTTGGATCACTTGGTACAACACCACCCAAGGTCACCTTGATTTCAGCTAGTTATAAACAGCACGATCACATCTAACGTGCATTTAACTCACACCATTTCAACCACACACAGCTGAAGGACCACTGGCTAAAATTCCACAATTTAAATGCAAGCAAGGCAGAGAGCTTTAAAGCTCTTTTAGCACCAGGTTTTCCCTTCACGAAGAGAGTTTTCAGCTCTCTGCCTTGCTTAGGCAGCCCCCACTGGTTCTTGCAAGATCTCACAGGGCCTGATTCAGCAGGCTTTTCTTATGTTCTTATGACATTATCCACCTCTGGCCTGAGCTGACTAGCAAAGGGGAAATGCTCCCTACTTCCTAGGAACCCGACTTTCATGGAGTCAAACTATTGGTCCATCTAATTTAGGGCTTAGGTCGAGCCACGGACCCGACGCAAGCGGGACTTTCTCGGGAGAGAGAAAGTCCGGGTTCTCGAGGGTAAACGGGGGTGCTACAGGGCGCGGTAGCCCCCAAAACCCCTCTGGAGGGAAACCAGAGGGTCAGGAGCCCAGCGGAGCCATTTGCAGATCGCCCGGCCATCAGGTAACTCCATAACAGGAGCGAAGAGAACAGCGGGCGGAGAAAGCAGGCACCGGGGAAGCCATTGTCTCACCCTCGAGAACGCAGCCCCAGGCTTGCAGGGCGAGTGATCGATTCTCAAAAATAAAGAATCTAAGCCAAATTTGGATTTTGGAATATAATTGGAGCATACAAAAGGAAGGCTTTGAGAAAAGAAGGTAGAAAAAGAGGTCAGTTTTTATCTGAAATCGGAGAACGACGCAAGACTACGAGCGGAGCGCGGAGAGGAGATTGGTAACACAGCAAGCGGTTTGAACTTCTCCCTCTTAAAAAACTTATTAAAAGTGATATAAACTGTTTAAAAAGTAACAAAGAGTTGCAGAAGAAGGGAATAACTAAAAGAGGGGGCAGAGGGTAACTATTTTATGACTTTAAAAGGCTCTCGATATAACGAAGCCTTTAAAGGTCAGCACCAACACTTTGAATTGTGCTCGGAAACGTACTGGGAGCCTTTTAAGGTCTTTTAAGACCGGTGTTATGTGGTCTCGGTGGCCGCTCCCAGTCACCAGTCTAGCTGCCGCATTCTGGATTAGTTGTAGTTTCCGGGTCACCTTCAAAGGTAGCCCCACGTAGAGCGCATTGCAGTAGTCCAAGCGGGAGATAACCAGAGCATGCACCACTCTGGCGAGGCAGTCCCCAGGCAAATAGGGTCTCAGCCTGCGTACCAGATGGAGCTGGTAACACAGCAAGCGGTTTGAACTTCTCCCTCTTAAAAAACTTATTAAAAGTGATATAAACTGTTTAAAAAGTAACAAAGAGTTGCAGAAGAAGGGAATAACTAAAAGAGGGGGCAGAGGGTAACTATTTTATGACTTTAAAAGGCTCTCGATATAACGAAGCCTTTAAAGGTCAGCACCAACACTTTGAATTGTGCTCGGAAACGTACTGGGAGCCTTTTAAGGTCTTTTAAGACCGGTGTTATGTGGTCTCGGTGGCCGCTCCCAGTCACCAGTCTAGCTGCCGCATTCTGGATTAGTTGTAGTTTCCGGGTCACCTTCAAAGGTAGCCCCACGTAGAGCGCATTGCAGTAGTCCAAGCGGGAGATAACCAGAGCATGCACCACTCTGGCGAGGCAGTCCCCAGGCAAATAGGGTCTCAGCCTGCGTACCAGATGGAGCTGGTAACACAGCAAGCGGTTTGAACTTCTCCTCTTAAAAACTTATTAAAAGTGATATAAACTGTTTAAAAAGTAACAAAGAGTTGCAGAAGAAGGGAATAACTAAAAGAGGGGGCAGAGGGTAACTATTTTATGACTTTAAAAGGCTCTCGATATAACGAAGCCTTTAAAGGTCAGCACCAACACTTTGAATTGTGCTCGGAAACGTACTGGGAGCCTTTTAAGGTCTTTTAAGACCGGTGTTATGTGGTCTCGGTGGCCGCTCCCAGTCACCAGTCTAGCTGCCGCATTCTGGATTAGTTGTAGTTTCCGGGTCACCTTCAAAGGTAGCCCCACGTAGAGCGCATTGCAGTAGTCCAAGCGGGAGATAACCAGAGCATGCACCACTCTGGCGAGGCAGTCCCCAGGCAAATAGGGTCTCAGCCTGCGTACCAGATGGAGCTGGTAAACAGCTGCCCTGGACACAGATTTGACCTGTGCCTCCATGGACAGCTGCGAGTCCAAAATGACTCCCAGGCTGCGCACCTGGTCCTTCAGGGGCACAGTTACCCCATTCAGGACCAAAGAGTCCTCCATACTCACCCGCCTCCTGTCCCCCCAAAACAGTACTTCTGTCTTGTCAGGATTCAACCTCAATCTGTTAGCCGCCATCCAACCTCCAACCGCCTCCAGGCACTCACACAGGACCTTCACCGCCTTCACTGGTTCTGATTTGAAAGAGAGGTAGAGCTGGGTATCATCCGCATACTGATGAACACCCAGCCAAAACCCCCTGATGATCTCTCCCAACGGCTGCATATAGATGTTGAAAAGCATGAGGGAGAGGACAGAACCCTGAGGCACCCCACAAGTGAGAGCCCGGGGGTCTGAACACTCATCCTCCACCACCACTTTCTGAACACGGCCCAGGAGAAAGGAGCGGAACCACTGTATGACAGTGCCCCCAGCTCCCAGCCCCAGAAGGATGTTATGGTCGATGGTATCAAACGCCGCTGAGACTCATGCTTTCTAGGCAAGGAACAACCAGAAGTGTGGATGAGACCTCAGTGTGGTCTACACTGATTAGCAGGAGAGGCTTTCTTTCATCTCAGACATGAGTTTTCCCCTGGCTCACCTGGAGATGCCAACTGAACCTGGGACTTTCTGTTTGCTAAGGAGATGCTCTGCTACTGAGCCTCTCTGGCCCTTCTCCCCAAAGGCAATTAGCTGGACTTTTTCTCACCCGCCTGCACTATCAGCCTTTACACGTGACACATAAACATCCTTTCCACCTCCCTAAAAAGACAGCGTTAACGATGAAAACAGTCTTCTTTTGCCAAGTCTCTTGCATAGTTCAGCATGAAAGCTACTGTGGATCTTGGCTGATGCAGCTGGATTTGCAGAAGCAACAACAAAAGCTGCAAAATCTAAAGATTTGGTTGTTGTTGCATCCTAGAATCACATGTTTGCTTCTTTGTGTTTAGTTCTTCAGAGCAGTTTTTCAAGCAGAATTCCACTAGGATTGGGGGAACATACTGGAAGGTCCAGTACACTGAATACATGGATGGAACTTTTCAGGTGGAGAAGGGGCGGACAAAAGAAGAAAAGCATCTCGGAATACTTGGTAATACATCAAAATTAACTTTCCTGCCCAGCCAGATATATGGGCTATGACTTGTTACATTTTGAGAGGCACGGTGGGAAGTTTTATCTATTTATCTAGAAGATTTGTAACTCCCTCTTTCTGTCTTAACAGAGACACTCAATGCTGCTCACATCAACTATAAATATTTTATGATCTGGGTGGGAAACAGGGATAGTTATTCAAAAGCCAGTGCAGTGTTACAAAAACCGAAAAAACAAGAGTTTGGGTTTTTTTAACCAGAAATGTGCAAGTGCAAAACAGAAAATGTTACCAGCTCCTAGTTACCATGTTTCACTATGGGCAAAATGTAGGTGGTAATGGCTACTAACTAAGATGGTTTTAAAAGAAGATTAGACAAACTCACGGAGGAGAAGACAGCTATGAATGTCTGCTAGCCATGATGGCTATGCTCTGCCTCCATGGCCAGATACAGTGAATGCTTCTGCGTCCATTGCTGGAAGCCACAGGCGGGAAGAGTACTCTTGCCCCAGGTTCTGCTTACGGTTTTCCCAAAAGAGACTTCTGGTTGATCACTGTGAGAACAGGATGCTGGACTAGGTGGGCTGTTGGCCTGATCCAGTAGGCTCTGCTTATGTTCTTATGGAGGCCTGTGCTAGTTTGGGGCACACGTTTCCTTTTTTGCTTTTTAATATAGAGCAGGGGTCAGCAAGGTTTATCTTGCCTGGGCTGGATCGGTCCCGGGGAGATCCCTCTGTGGGTCGGATCGCATATGCACCCGCGATTTTTGGTGTCTGCTTAGACGTGATTTCCGGTGCCACAGAAGCAAGTCCCCGCCTCACGCTGTGCCGGTTTAGCACAACACGCAAGAGGGCAGCTCGGTTTGGGGGCAGCTCGTGGGCCAGTCAAACGACCTCTGCGGGCTGCTTCCGGCCCATGGGCCTTTGGTTGCTGACCCCTGATATAGAGCTCTTGCACAATACTGATATTTAGCTATGCCAGAATTCTCGTAAATAGGTGCTTTCTGCATGCAGTGTTCAGTGGAAATAAGGCATGCTCATGCTGTTTGAAAACAAAATGGCTCGCAGAGGGGGCAAACTTACAGACGAGCTTTAGTTTTAGATTCCTGCATTGCATGGGGTGGGACTAGGTCCCTTCCAGCTCTACAATTCTATGACCTATGATTCCTGTCTTTCTCCCTGCAGGACCAGTGATCAAAGCTGAAGTCGGAGATACTATCCAGGTTACGTTTGCAAACAAAGCCTCTTGGCCTTTTAGCATTCAGCCCCATGGTGCGTTTTATGAAAAGGAATGGGAAGGAACTGCTTACCAGGATGGTTAGTTCTTACATGCACATTTTCATTTTAGCAACAGCTGTATAAAAACTGTGCTCTTCACTTGCTTAGCAAGACCAGGATGAATTGCTTGGGGTGAAGAAGTAGAGGTTGTTTTCAGTTATTTCAGAAAGGGCAGGTTTCACAATGCTTTTAATGCAGGAGCTCCCTATAAGAAAGGGTTGCAGTGTTGGAACTTTCCAGTTTGGAGTGAGGTCTCATTCAGACCTCCTTTTGTGCCACATATTTTAGGATCAGGTCTCTGCTTTAAAGCTCCATGTCTGACACTCCCCCCCCCCCCGGTGCTTTCCCCACAAAAACCCGCTCTTTACTGCTGAATCGGAACAAACAGCCATTTGGATTTTCCACGGGATTCTGTTTGCTCAGATTCAGCATCAAAGAGCAGGTCTTTCTGTGGAAAGCTGCAGAGCAAAATTTTAAAAAAGTGCTTGGACACTGACTTTTAAAGTTGGACATCTGCCTGGAAAGCGTGAGGCTTGATATGTGTGGATGAGCCCTAAGAAATGGCATGATAGAAGTCTGCAAAATTGTGCATGGCATTTCGGAGAAAGTGGATGGAGAAAAGTTGACACATAGGGCTTATCCATGCTCCCACTTGTCCCATGTGTAGAAAGTATGAGACTGAGTGGTTTTCCTCTTGTCCTGTGCTTTCTGGGCATGGGGCCGAGCGACCTGCAATGTGGCACTGCCAGAGGAATTATGATTCTGAATAACAGTTGCTGGGAATCAGGTGAGGAATCCTTTTTCAGCTAGAGGGATGATTTCTCATATGGACAAGTTTCCAAGGGACCTGCCTCAAAATGGGAAGAAGCCCAGGAGCAGAATCTAAGCACAAGGGCAGTCCTCTCCCCTCCTGCGGTTTCCAGCAGCTGGCATTCAGAAGCATTGGAGGCAGGGCATGGCTATCCAGCCTAGTAGCTCCCCTGCCCATCAAGAGCTCCCCTGCCCATTTTTGCCTCCAGCCCCACCCACCACTGATATGTGGCCCCTGGAAACCTGCCTGGAAGAAAATGCAGCCCTCAAGCTGAAAAAGATACCCCACTTGCTGGGGGAGGGAGCAAGGCCCACTTAGAGCATGGGGTCTGGGAGCACGGGGGTTTCTCTTTCTCCACCCCACCCTTCCAGTTGTAGGGTGGCTCCGAGGCTTTGGATAGACACAAACAGAACCCCGAATAAGATGCAATTGTACTGTGTTCTTGTTGCAAGCCGTGCTGACAGCTTGGTTATGAAGTGGGGGAAACGAGCCAAACCACAAAAATTAAGAAGACACAATGCCATGAAAAGGTAGACAAAAGAACAACTCAAATTGTCTAGGGATTGGAGAACTCTTCCTAAGAGTAGGTGTTAAAGTTTCTGAGGCCTCTGAGGGTAAGGCAGGTGGGGAGATAGTGGAGGTACAGTGGTACCTTGGGATGCGAATGGGATCCGTTCCGAAGCCCTGTTCAGATCCTGAAGTGAACGCAACCCACGCCTGCGCATCTGCGTGTGCGCGCATCACGTTTCGCCACTTCTGCGCATGCGCGTTACGTCATTTTGACCGTCTGCGCATGCGGCGAAACCCGGAAGTAACACGCTCCGTTACTTCCAGGTTGCCACGGAGCGGAACCCGAAAATACTTAACTTGAAGCACATTTATCCCAAGGTATGACTGTATATAGAATGATGGATGGTATGGAAAATGTAGCTTGAGAAATGAGTGTCTGCCTATCATAATTCTTAGACTCAGGAGATTGCTGAACAGCACTGGTCAGTAAGATCCAGACTGACAAGAGAAAACATTTCTACCCAAACATGAAATTAACCCCCTCGCAGCACTGTCTCTCACCAGCTTCGCACCCTCCAGATAGTTCCCATCACCCTTGGCCATCTTTGTGGGGACTCATGGGAAGTGGAGTCCCGCAGTATTTGCAGTACACTAAGCAGGTTTCCCCCGGTTCGTGCTATCTCCCCCCAGCTGCTATGAACGGCTTTAAAATTTCGTTTATTTGTTTTTTGCTTTTATATCCCACCTTTTCCTTCAAAGAGCCTGAGGTGTGGTGTGCATGGTCTCCCCATCACCATCAAATCCCCACAACTGTGAGGTAGGTTTGACCAAGAGGCAGTGGCTGACCCAAGGTCACCCAGCAAGCTTCATGCCCAAGTGGGGATTTGAACCCTGGTCTCTCCAACACTCTAACCACTACACCATAACTAGCTCTAATGATACAGGGAGATGCATAACCCTTCTTGCTTTTCAAAGGCTTATCTAGGAACGGAGCTGCTGTGAAGCCTCTGGGGAGCTTTGTGTACCACTGGATGGTCCCTCAGCATGTTGGGCCTACAGCCACCGACCCTCCTTGTCTGACCTGGATGTACTCTTCTGCATCAGATCCGGTCAGAGACACCAATTCTGGCTTAGTGGGGCCCTTGCTTATATGTCGGCCTGGGACTCTTGATGAACATAATAAGCAGGTATGCTTGGTTGCTTTGCCGTTGTGCCATTGACCAGTATCAGCAGAAGGGACTGGAGATGGGTAATTTTTTGAGACTCAACCTACGTTAGTACTCCCATGCAACCACCATCAAAACTGCCAGCCCTACAGGGTCTGAATTCCCTGGCTCCCTACTTGATTGACAGTGGCTTGTGGTTAGGTGGGTAGACTTGGAACATGATGGCGATTATTTTATTGCTTATATCTCGCCTATCCTCTCCTGAGTCCATGGCAATTAACAGCAAAGTTACAGCATTAAACACAAAGCAAAAAGTTTTACTTATTTACTTACTTTACTTATTTATAAGTATAATGGAACCTCGGTTTTCAAGTGTCTCAGAAGTCGAATGTTTCGACTTTCGAACTCCAAAAATCTGGAAGTAATTGCTTCAGTTTTTGAACGATTTTTGGAAGCTGAACATGCCACATGGCTTCCGTTTTGAGTTTGCCTGTTGTATTGAGGCTTCTGTATTGAGTGGTTTCTGAACATTTTGGAAGTCGAACGGTCTTCTGGAATGGTTTACGTTTGAAAACTGAGGTTCACTGTATATTTGTATGCGGTTTTGTCATTAAAAAATCTAAGCCATTTACAGCAATAAAACCATACAATAAAACCATTAAAAATTTAAAAAACAGATATCAAATAACTATTGTAGTAGGACATGTTATTAACTGCCAGCATAGGCCTAGCAGAATAGAAAAGATTTCAGCAGAAATTTAAAAGTTGACAAAGAAGGCATGAATCTCCAGTGGCAGGGAGTTCCATTGACACTCAAGGCTTCGTTTCTCACTGTTGTCAAATGAGCCTCACCAACTCGGGGAATGACCAGCAATGCTCTTGCGACTATAACCAACAATGATTAGTGCATGAGAATAGGTATTTTTCAAAAGCCTGACATCCTGTGTGTTGTTGCTATCCTAGAAAGGTGTCGAGAAGGAGTTTTATCTCTTGTTTGGTGTGTTTGATGAAAATCTAAGTTGGTATCTGGATGCAAATCTGAAGTACTTCTTGAAAAAGGACCATCCTTTTCAAGATCAAGACTTCAAGGAATCCAACAGGATGCACGGTATGTCATCACGCCCACTCTTAGGGAATGAAGACGCAGTCGAGCATTGGATTACCTAGAAATTAATCGGAGCACCTATCTGAAATATCTACTCTGAGCTATCACCTCAGAAAGGATGTTATAGAGTTGGGAAAGGTTCAGAAAGGGGCAACCAAAATGATTAAGGGAGTGGAGCAACCCCTCTGTAATCAGAGGTTGCAACATTTGGGACTTCAGTTTAGAGAAAAGGCATGTAAGAGACAATGTTTGTAAACAATCTATGGCATGGAGAAAATGGATAGAGGAAAGCCCCCCTCCCCCCATAACTCCAGAACACATGGGCATCCAATAAAGCCGAATTTAAGAAGATTAAGGACAGATTAAAGAGAGGACTTCTTCACTCAGCGCATAGCTGAACTGCAGAACTTGCTTCCAGAAGAGCCAAGGATGGGCCACTAACCTATAGGTTTAGACAAATTCATAGAGGAGAGGACTATTGATGGCTACAAACCTATAGTACTGCTTTTGGGAGACAAGGTCAGGCAGGTGTGGAGGACTGTCTGGTCCTGAATGGGGTAACTGTGCCCCTGAAGGACCAGGTGTGCAGCCTGGGAGTCATTTTGGACTCACAGCTGTCTATGGAGGCACAGGTCAATTCTGTGTCCAGGGCAGCTGTCTACCAGCTCCACCTGATATGCAGGATGAGACCCTACCAGCCCACAGACTGTCTCACCAGAGTGGTGCGTGCTCTAGTTATCTCCTGCTTGGACTACTGCAATGTGCTCTATATTGGGGCTACCTTTGAAGGCGACCCGGAAACTGCAACTAATCCAGAATGCGGCAGGGAGTGGCCACTGAGACTATATAACACTGGTCCTGAGAGACCTACATTGGCTCCCAGTGTGTTTCTGAGCACAATTCAAAGTGTTGGTGCTGCCCTTTAAAGCACTAAACGGCCTCAGCCCAGTATACCTAAAGGAGCGTCTCCACCCCCATCGTTCAGCCTGGACACTGAGGTCCAGCTCCGAGGGCCTTCTGGCGGTTCCCTCATTGAGAGAAGTAAGGTTACAGGGAACCAGGCAGAGGGCCTTTTCAGTAGTGGTGCCTGCCCCTGTGGAATGCCTTCCCATCAGATGTCCAGGAAATAAACAACTATGTGACTTTTATAAGTCACATCTGAAGGCAGCCCTGTTTAAGGAAGTTTTAAATGTTTGCTGTTTTATCGTGTTTTTAATATTCTGTTGGGAGCCGCCCAGAGTGACTGGGGAAACCCAGCTAGATGGGCAGCTTATAAATAATAAACTATTATGTTATTATTATTACAAGCCATGAAGGCCATGTTCTGCGTTAACAAGTTGGAGGCAGCAATGCTTCTCAATGCCAGTTGCTGCAAACCACAGGAGGGGAAAGTGTAGCTCTTGCACAGCTTGCTGGTTTTCCATTGGGCATCTTGTTGGTCATTATGACAACACGATGCTGGATTTGGCCTGATCCAGCAGGCTCTTACAATATTCTTATTTATTTCATTTATTTCTTTTGTAAAGTTTGTACTCTGCTTGGATGCAAAAAAAAGAAAAAAGCCCCCCCCCCAATTCAAAGCAGTATATGAAAAGGTATGGTCTATGCATGAATCAAATAAATAAATGTCTCCTTTTTTGTTTATTTTCCTTTGGGGTTCCCCCCCCCTTAAAGCCATTAATGGGTTCCTGTTCAGCAACATGCCTCTCCTAGATGTCTGCAGGGAAGAAACTGTCTCCTGGCATCTCTTGGGCTTTGGCAGTGAAGCCGATGTCCATGGCGCAACCTTCCAGGGAAATACGGTCTTGATGAATGGGATGAGGCGAGATGGAGCCAGTCTCTTCCCTCACACATTTGCCACAGCCCTCATGCAGCCAGATCACGAAGGTAAATGCCTCAACCCATTTGCAACCTTTCTCTCTCATGCCCAAACCATATATTTTATGCATGCTTAAAAGCACAAGGTTTCCCTGAAAGAATCCTGGGAACTATAGTTTGTTAAATGTCTTGGGGAATTACAGCTCTGTGAGGCGTGGGCTACATTTTGCAGGATGCTGTGGGGGGGGGGAGTGTGTGCTTCCAATGTATGGTGTAGACCAGTGTAGTCAGTTTAGAAGCAGAGTAAACATTTTCAGTCTAATCATAACCTTTACTGTCCAAGGAAACAGAGTTACGCAAGCTTTCAATAAAGGCCATGTAGAGGCAGTGACCTTGGATATGCAAGATCTCTCTTCTAAATCCCTGGAGATGAATTTTTCAGGGTTTTGTTTTGCTTTCAAGCTTGAGGCACAAGTCAGTGTGGTAGAATCACAGAATTGTAGGGCATAGTGCAATTGAAATTAGAACCTGGGAGACCAGGGTTCAACTTTCCACCCAGCAATGAAGCTTAGTGGGCTCTCTTGAGTCACACCCTCCTTCTCAGCCAAATCTACCTCACAGAATCGTTGTGAGGATAAAATGAGGGTTCGTTAGTTAGACCCATGGCTTGATATGATAGAACACAAGTCTGTCCTGCAAATGCAAGCCCAAGGGGGGGAGGTGACATGAATGAATTTTATAAAAATTATGCCTGGCAAAGAGAAAGTGGACAGAGAAAAGTTGCTCTACCTCTCTCATGACACTAGAATTTGTGGACATCCAATGAAGCCAAATGTTGGAAGATTAAGAAAGGTGAAAGGAAGTCCTTCGCAAAGCAGACAGTTAATAATAATATTATAATAATTTATTATTTATACCGCACCCATCTGACTGGGTTGAACTGTGGAACTCCCTGCAGTGGACTACAAAGCCCATCAGCCACAGCCAACACAGCCATATGGCACTGGGGGGGGGGGGGACATTCCTGTGCTGGCTGAGGCTGGTGGGAGTTTTGATTGAAAACATCTGGAGGGACCTGTCTGCCACCATCTTGCACATCTCTGTTTATGCTGCCCACTAGGGACTTTTGAAGTATACTGTCAGACTAGCAACCACTACCAGTCTGGGATGAGAGGACGTTACTCAGTTCAGCAGTGTGGGAAGAACACACTGTTTCCAGACCAGCAATATGAGCAAGTGAGGACCTTCTACATCATGGCAGAAGAAGTGGAGTGGGACTATGCTCTGGATCGCCATTGGGCACTGGAAAGATATAACAGCTCTGCGGAGGAGAGGTAACTGGTCTGCTTCAGAAAGGAGCAGGAGGACTAGATAGTCCATTGGCCTGATCCAGCAGGCTCTTCTTCTGTTCTTCTGGCTCCTCTCCATGCCAAGTTGGCTGAGTTAACTTTTATTTGCTTGCTTTACAGTATGGATTTGTATGCCACCTTTCAAAACAAAAGTTTCCATAAGGGGGCTTATAGTCAGTGTCATAATATTAAAAACAAAACAAAAACACAAATACCTGCAGTTTTATAAAGAGACAGCATAAGACAATTACTAGTCCATACCCACAAAATAATGTTACAGTTTAAATACAGAGAGCTTAAAAACCCAGCTTTTCCTTTTAACCCAAAGGGGCAATGAGGTTGTCAGACCCCCAGAACTTTCCTGAAGTTCCCAGGTTTGCTTGGCCATTACCGGGGGGCGGGGGGGAACGGCTTGAATCTCCAGGTGGACAAGTCCACCTGAAAATATTAATATTATTATTATTGTTGTTGTTGTTGTTGTTGTTGTTAGTATTATCATTAAGGCTGTGAGTGCAGCTTGCAAGCTTCAGCCTAGTAAAGGTAAAGGTAAAGGGACCCCTGACCATTAGGTCCAGTCGTGACTGACTCTGGGGTTGCAGCGCTCATCTCGCTTTATTGGCTGAGGGAGCCAGTGTACAGCTTCCGGGTCATGTCAGCGGAAACGCCATTTACCTTCCCGCCAGAGTGGTACCTATTTATCTACTTGCACTTTGACGTGCTTTCGAACTGCTAGGTTGGCAGGAGCAGGGACCGAGCAATGGGGATTCAAACCACCAACCTTCTGATCAGCAAGTCCTAGGCTCTGTGGTTTAACCCACAGCGCCACCCGCATCCTTCAGCCTAGTAGGAGCCAGCTGAAAATCACAGCACAAACTCTCTGAGGGTATCTTCACTTCCCCCTCTCCCCCCTCCCCTTTTCTAGTTAGACTCTGTCTTTGCAAATTATTGCATAGACTTAGTGATTTCACCAAGACCTGTCCCCCATGACATCACTGGGGCCCACACCTGCGTCCCAGGTTTGGGCCCTGAAATATCAGGATCTGTGAAGCTCCTGACCTGACAGTCTTTGGGGCAAAGAACTCAAACATACATTCCAGGTCAGTTTATTAATAATAGTAACAACAGCAGCAGTGTGTTTTAAGCACAGTTGCTGTGGTGGTTATCATTATTGTGATATTGTTCATTTTTATTCATTTCATAAAAAAATATTCTATGCTGCTTTATTCGGGGGGGCAGGGGACCCCAAAGCTGTTTATGAAAAAGCTAAAGCAATAAAATTATAAGAAAGAAGAATTAACTGTAATAATTTGGGGCCCTTTCCAACTCGACAATTCAGTGATTCTAAGCTAAGAATTTTTCAGGGGGGTATATGTGGAAATCAAAATGACTATAAACTAAAAACAAATTGAAATTCACACCAACTTCATAAATGTATGGGTAGGCTAGCCTAAACAAAATACATATCTTACAGATGCCGATAAGACAGCTGTGAAGGTGCCTGTGTGGTATCGGTAGCCCAAGGAATGTCTGTTTTTCTAAGCCTGGGAAATGCAGGCTGAATTGAGTGGCTAGTCGCAATAGTTCCTCAGAAACTAGAACAAAGACACAGGCAAGAATTAGGGGTGCTTCCTGAGTATTAACCCCAAGTGATCCAGAAAACCAGGCTTGGCTGAATCACAGTCCACCCTCCTCGCTCCCCTGATAACATTCTGGGACACATTTCACACACACCCATCCCGCCTCCTGCTCCCTAGTTTAAAATGAGGCAGATTCCTCTCCTTTCCCCTGTTCTTCTTTGCCCCTTCCCAGCTTGGCTGCTTGCTCCTGCTGAAAGCCCAGGCATTTGCCCTCTTCAGTCTTCCTAGTGTTTCAGACCATTCCAAACCTTGAATATCTGCATACAAAAGGGATGGCGTGCCCTCTGGCCTTTTAACATGCTTCCTAATTCTTGCCCTGCTATTGCTCCCCAGCAGCACCATATGGAAGGCAGAAGATTTTTGAGGCTTTAAATGTGTGGATTGCAGCAATGTGGCCTAAGGAAAGAGGTGGGGAACCTAAGGCTGGGGGGCAAAGGAGGCCCTCTCTGGGCCTCAGCAGCCAGGGCTCCAACCACCCCCTCAGTTCCGCACACACCTGAGTGCTTTTGCCTGAGTGTCCTTCAACAGAATGCCTCCCACTTGCCGGAAAAGAGGCTGGGGAGACATGTAGGTGGGTAAAAGCTTCCGACTTTTGCACAGCTAGAACGCAGCTGATTGCAGAAAGATAACAGCAACATCCATTTTCAGGGCTGTCTTAAGAATATCCGGCTGTGGTGCAAAGATCCCTCCGGCGCCCCACCCCGCGTTTTACAGAGTTGTCAACCTTTTCCCAAGCCTCTGCGGGGATCGCTCTCCTCCGCAGGGGCTTGGGAAGGAAGCTGCATGTCCGCCAGCCATATAGTTGGCAGGGCACAGCTTCCATCCTAAGCCTCTGCAGGGTCGCTCTCCTCCTGCGGAGGCTTGGGAGGCAAGCTGCATGCCTGCCAGCCATCTGGTTGGTGAGGCGCAGGTGGCGGGTGCAGGGAAAGGGGAGGCCGCCGGCAAAGCCACGCAGCTTCCCCACTCGCTGGGGTGCCCCTGAGAAGCCAGCGTCCTGGCGCAACGCGCCAGTAATCCCAATGGAAAAGACGGCTCTGGCCATTTTAGCTCTAGCCACATCCACTTTTGCCTCTCTGGCCCTGCTGATCCCTGGAATGTGGCCCCTTGAAAGTTGCTCATGTGTGAATGCAGCCCTGGCTGGAGGGATCTCATGAAACCATTCCACCACCAACACCAAGGGCATGCACCAGGATATTATCACTTTTAGTTCCCCTGCTAGTTCATAGCTGACCTGTACCCAGGTCCCCCTATGCTAAGCCGTTTCCAGGCATCTCTCAAAGCCTTTCCTCTCAGCGGGCTTCACATCTCCAGAAACCAGATTCCCTAGAGCCATGACCTGCCCAGCACAGACAAGATGTGTGTTATTGTTTTATTAATGCCAACAGAGCATCATTAACGCACAAAGGAACTTCAGCATTCACAGGTATAGCGACGTGTTTCTGAGTGGCAAGAACGGACTCCTTGGCTCCCGGTACAAAAAAGCAGTATACAGGGAATACACGAATGGGACGTTCAAGACCCCAAAGAGCAGGACGGATGGCGAGGAACACCTAGGGATCCTGGGTAAGGAGAAGGATTGTACACAAAGTAGGTGCTGCTCCTCTCACCTCTCCAGGAGTTAGTGATGGCCACCAAATTAGATGGGTTTAAAAGATGTCCCACTGACCTGATCCAGCAGGATCTTCTTTTGTTCCTGTGTTCCATTCGAGCAAGTCTGGGGCTTAACCTGCAAGCAAGTTTGTTAGATAGCACAATCAGAAACAGGCCTTTGGCTACAGGGGTCTTTTTTACTTATTTTTGCTTTTACTTTTTTTTACTTCCATAGAAAAGGGTGAATATAAATTAAATGCATGGGGGGGGTGCCAATTGTCACTTTGATGAAAACAGCATTGCATGGACACTGAAAAAAAAATGTGCACAAAAATCCCACAATGAACACCCATCCAGATGACCTGGTCTACACGTGCAGCAGAGTTAGATGTTTGAAAGCTAGAGACAGTAGAGTGCACTGTACTGTTTCAGACAGCAGGTGGGGGTATAACTTATGAATCAGCACCTTTGTAAAAACATTCTCTGCAAATGAATTTTAATGCAGTAGGTGTTACAGGACTCTCGTTTTTCACAGCAATAGGCTAACTCAGCTATACCGCTGGAAATTGTTGCTAGATTTACCAGTTTTCTAATTAACAAGAGGTGGGTTTTTTATGGTTTGGTTTAGTTTGATACTCTAGGAGAATGTTCAAAAAATAGGATGCCTTGTGGTCAGAGGTGGTACATTGCATTCCCCGGCCTCAGAACCCTGCCATTCTGTTAACACTTCATATGTCTGCATGTATAAACCAAGCCCGGTCACTGCTTTTTTTCCAGCTGGAGCTCACTGAAACCCAGTTCTGGCACCTCTTAGGTGGGCGCCATTGCCATTCTAAGAGAACAAGGGGGGTGTTCGTGGTGAGTTCTGGCACCTTTTTCTAGAAAAACAGCACTGGAGGCATAAGGGTTTGTTATTCTGACTGGTGTGTAATTGGAATGCAGAGTTAAAGTAAATTATCAAATCATCAATTCTAGCACGCAGGGGACCGCCTCTCCTGGTATGCCCCGCGGAGGACCTTAAGGTCCACAAATCACAACATTTTGGAGGTCCCAAGTCACAAGGTGGTTAGATTGGTCTCAACTAGGGCCAGGGCCTTTTCAGTACTGGCCCCAACTTGGTGGAATGCTCTGTCACAAGAGACTAGGGCCCTGCGGGACTTCACATCTTTCCACAGGGCCTGCAAGACAGAGCTGTTCCACCTGGCCTTTGGTTTGGACTCAGTCTGACCCTTATGTTTCCCTCCCCTTGTGGTTTTGGTCTATGGGCTATCATAAAATGAGGATGCTTTTTAAATTGTACCTTAACCTGTATTTTAAATTGGTCCCCCCTATTATGTTTTTATTGTAATTTTACTGGTGTTAGCCGCCCTGAGCCCAGCTTTGGCCGGGGAGGGCAGGGTATAAATATTTTTTTAATTTTTAAAATTATTATTATTTTATTATTACAATTGGCATTATTAATTGTATTATGATTTGGTATTATAAATTGGTATTGACAACAAGGCTTTTATTGGGTTATTGTAACTGAAAACTAATAAAAATTATTACATAAAAAAAAAGAAAAATAGCACTGGGCCTGATGTACCTTGGACTTCAAATTATCATCATAATAGACTCCCATTATAAATGTAAGAACTGAGGATGTCTAGGCAATCGAGAGTCTTCTCCCCCATTGTGATGCCTTTCCAGATGTAGATGGGAGTCTCTCTGTGGCAACATTCACAACACACATTTAAAGCAGTATCTGAGCACCATGCCACTTCAAACAGTCACGACACCCCCCCAAAAAAAAAAAAATTCTGGGAGCTGTAGTTTGTTAAGGGTGCTTAACGTTGGTAGGAAGCCCCTGTTCCCCTCCCAGAGGTACAATTCCCAGTGTGGTTTGATAATGCAGCTCCCATAATCCTTTTGGGGAAGCCACTGACTATTTAAACTGGTATAATAGAACTTTAATGGCATGATGTCAATGTGGACTGTATCTCTGGAGTGCTGTGTTCTTTTGATAAGTTTTTTTCTGCTTTTCCCTCTCCATGGCTCTTCAGCGTACTGTGGGTAGCGATGGAAATTTATTATGTGCTGCTTATTATGGGCTGTTCTGTCCATGCCCACTCTTTTCTGCCCATGCCTTTCCTGCTCTCATGGGAAAATAGCTGGGTCAGTATAAATAACTACCGCAGCTTAGTCACAGTGCAAGCCATCAGAAGAGATGGGTCTGACGATAATTGCAGGGGAGCACAGCTGTACTAGGCACAAAACAAATCTGGGGCCCAGACTCTCAGCTTTTCTATTTCCTTTTTCTTTTTAAAAACGGTTTTATTAACGTTATTATTGCAATTCATTGCCATAGCGATTATATATGAAGGATTCTTGTCTTCTAAGAAGAAAAAAGAAAACAAATTAACTAGAAAAGGCGGGGGAGCGGAGAGAACATGAGATGTGGAAGGCGGAAGGGATAATATAACAAAAAATTCTATGGGGCAATTAATAAAAGGAAAAATGTCATCATTTACATTGTCATCCAGAAATGTAAGAACTTCGCAATACATTTTGTTTTCTTAATTATTTCAGATTGCATTTTTCTTTTCTTTCTTCGGTTTTTTTGGTAATTGGTTTTTCAATTTCAATTAACAAAATATAGCCATACTAGGAAAAGGAGGCTTAGTAGATGTACAGAAAAGAAAGCTAAATAGCAGCTGATGGTTGTATTTTTAAACATTCCAAGAAAGACAATCAAATGAAAGTATCTCTCAATAAGTTTCCTTGAGTCTGTTGAGAGTGAAAACCATGTTTGATTGCCTTAACAAAGCCAATAAAAGGATATATAGAAAGCGTTAGTCCTCCCATCGCACTGGATCAATATTCCTTTTGTGAAATGTTTGTCCAAAAGCATGAAGTCCTATACTTGCAAACTTCAGCCTTCAAAAAGATTTGCATTTAAAGTTTTCCAAATCTTTATGATCACTAATCTAGCTGCCAATAATAAATGGAGGATGAGGTTCTTATTAGTTATGTTCTTAATCTGAGGAGTAAAATAAGTGCTGCATGTTTCTTATACATAAGTTTTATCATTAAGATATTTTGCCAGGTTTTCCTTGGCTAATTAGTTGTAGCAGGGGGATCTTTGTTTCCCCATTTTTGTAGCTTTCCTTTCCTTTTGTAAAAGCCTCTTCCCCTTGAAGAATGAGAATTCTGAAGCAAGATATTCAGGCACCACTCTAACCAGTTCATTCAGGAGAAGTGAGCCTCCTCTTGCCTTTCAGTGTTTTAGCTAATTAAAATTGTTTGCAAAGATGATGCATGGGTGTATAGCAAGGTTTATTTTGGGGGGGGCAGGCCTTTTGTTGGGGTGACAGAACCTCAGTTAGCTATGCATTTTTATTGATTTTTATTGATTTGGGGGGACAACTATCCCCCCTGCGCCCACCCGGCTATTCCCATGTAAAGGTAAAAGGGCCCCTGACCGTTAGGTCCAGTCGTGACTGACTCTGGGGTTGCGGCACTCATCTCGCTTTATTGGCCGAGGGAGCCGGGGTACAGCTTCCAGGTCATGTGACCAGCATGACTAAGCTGCTTCTGGCGAACCAGAGCAGCGCAGAGAAACACCGTTTGCCTTCCTGCCAGGGTGGTACCTATTTATCTACTTGCACTTTGACGCGCTTTCGAACTGCTAGGTTGGCATGTATAGTAGGCTAAATCAAACACACTCAGGTAAAAGCAGGCAGGGTTGTGCAGAACTGAGAGGTGTGGCCTGCATTGAGGCCTGGAGAGTTGCTTTCTCCCAAAGCAGCAGGTTAAAATAGTGCTTGCATATTTCACTTCAGAACTCTCATTACTTAGAGAGTGGGGACTTACTTTGCCAAGCAAGCAAGTGGAGGGCGGGTCTGGGTCCCAAATTCACTCTGAACCTAGTATAGCAATGCCCCCTGCACGTCTTGGCAGGCTTGAGTAGACCCACTTCTTCCGATAGCTTGGACTGTGGAAACATTGAGATAATTATTTGTACTGACCCAGCAATAGCCACAGCTACTGCATGAGCACATGCACATCACTGTATGAGCATTGTTATGCCACCCACGTATTGCTTTCAATGCACTGCTTTCAAGTGTACATCTTTTTATGTTGTTCTCATCCATTCCTAGTCACTGTCCCAACAGCGCTTGTTCCCTAAAGCATCTCCTTGCCTCTAGGTCCGTTCATCTGGGCAGAAGTGGGAGACGTCCTCAATATTGTGTTCAAGAACAACGCCACACGGCCTTACTCCCTTCATGCCCATGGAGTCCTGGAGAAGAACAGCAACAAAGGCTCAGAAGCAGCAATGCCTGGTGAGTCTTAGGCCTCTGCTGTGAGTTGCCTTGTCTAGACCCCTGTGTCATGTATAGTGGCCAAGCTTCTTATTAACTATCCCCTGCAGTGCTCACAGAGACCACCTGGAGTCCATCCTCAGGCACCTGTATGGTTAGAGGCTGGGTGGGCTCCCTATCATTTTGCACAGTCTGGGACCCATACCAATAGACCCGAGTGACAAGAAAGGAGATTCTGATGAAACATCAGGAAGAACTTTCTGACAGCAACAGCTGTTCAGCTGTGGAATGGACCCCATTGGAAGGTGATAGACTCTCCTTCCTTGGAAGTTTTTGGTTTTTTGCTTTTGGTTTTTTGCTCCTGAGCTTTCCCCGTAAAAACCTGCTCTTTAAAGCCCAATGGAAGCAAATGGCAACCCAAAGAAAACCCAAAGAGCCATTTCCTCCCATTAAAGAAGCCAGTGCTCTCCTTTAGAGAGCGGCATATCATGGAGAAAGCTCCAGTGGGAAAGGAAAGGGGGGGTGCTCAGATACAGAACAAAAAGCTAAATTAATTGTAAATAATGTGGTGACGGAAGAATTTAAGATTGAAAAAGGGACACGACAAGGTTGCCCAATTTCCCCACTGCTTTTTATTTTGGTCCTGGAGGTTTTGCTGAACATGATTAGAAGGGATCAGTTGGTTAAAGGTATACAGGTTGGAGCCAAACAGTACAAATTGAGAGCATTTGCAGATGATTTAGTATTGACGTTACAGGAGCCAGAATCTAGCACCAAAAGGGTTTTAGAATTGATTCAAGAATTTGGTCAAGTCGCAGGATTTAAATTGAATAAGGCAAAAACTAAGGTTTTAGAGAAAAATCTAACACCAATAGAGAGAGAGAGGTTTCAGAATGAGACAGGTTTAACAGTGGTTAAGAAAGTTAAATATTTGGGGATCAACTTGACAGCAAAAAATGGGAACTTATTTAAAGATAACTATGAAAAATGCTGGGCTGAAGTGAAAAAAGATTTAGAAATTCGGTCAAATTTGAAGCTTTCACTGTTGGGTCGTATTGCTGCTGTAAAAATGAATGTATTGCCTAGAATGTTGTTTTTGTTTCAAACATTGCAAATTGTGGACAAAATGGACTGTTTCAAGAGGTGGCAGAGAGATATTTCTAGATTTGTCTGGCAGGGTAAGAAGCCCAGAATAAAATTTAAAATACTAACAGATGCAAAGGATAGAGGTGGATTTGCCCTGCCAGACCTTAAACTTTACTATGAATCAGCAGCTTTCTGCTGGTTGAAAGAATGGCTGCTTCTTGAAAACACTGACATTTTGGATTTAGAAGGTTTTAACAACGTATCTGGATGGCATGCATATCTGTGGTATGACAAGCTCAAAGCACATAAAGCATTTAAAAACCATATTGTCAGGAAAGCACTGTTTAATGTTTGGATAAGATACAAGGATTTATTGGAAAACAAAACTCCAAGGTGGCTGTCACCGATGGAAGCGAAAGCCTTGAAAAAGCTCAATATGGAGGTCAAATGGCCGAAATATTGGGAAATTTTGGAACAAGATGGAGACAGATTGAAATTGCAGAGTTTTGAAAACCTAAAAAACAAAGTGCGAGACTGGCTTCATTACTATCAGATAATGGAGACATACAATTTGGATAAGAAAATCGGCTTCCAGGTGGAAAAATCAAAATTAGAAACAGAATTGTTAGAACCTGTAATGAGTATGAGTTACTCGTGCGTAAACTGGTGCCTCTCTAGGCTAATTTGCCTTGTTAAACCTTTCTGACTGCACAGCCCTTTCTAATTGTGACTGCCTCAGTCACTGGCAAAATCCGTCAGTGGGCGTTTCTTGAACCTCTTCCAACATAAAAGTTGTTTGACACCCAGTCTCCTCCTCCTCTCACTGCGCGGGAGTCTTCTGTGCAGGGAGGGCGTGGGTAGCGGAGGACCTGTCCCCTCCTCACTGAGTTCCAGTGAAGAGTCCTGGAGCCCTCTCTCCGATTCCCCCATCTGCCCACCTTTATCCCTGGTGTTGCGCTTAAATGCTTCCCCCTCAAATGAGCTGTTTCTCCCCCTGCTGCTGGGTCCTTCTCCAGCATCATCTAGGAGCCTCCCCTTCGCCTCTCGCTCCGATGTCAGTTCCCTGACAGAACCCAAAACTAAAACTTTGTCAAAGATGTATAACTTGCTGTTGAAATGGAATACTCAGGATGAAACGGTGAAATCTGCTATGATTAAATGGGCACAAGACGTTGGACATAATATTATGTTTGCTGACTGGGAACAGTTGTGGACCACAGGTATGAAATTTACGGCATGTAATGCCTTAAGAGAAAATATTATGAAAATGATATACAGGTGGTACATAACCCCAGTCAAGCTTGCAAAAATAAAAAATTTGCCTTATAATAAATGTTGGAAAATTAAATAAACAGAAGGTACATTTTTTAACCTTTGGTGGACGTGCCCAAAGATTAAGGCTTTCTGGGAGATGATATATAATGAACTAAAAAAGGTATTTAAATATACCTTCTTGAAGAAACCAGAGGCCTTTCTCCTGGGCATAGTCGGCCAATCGGTGTTAAAAAGGACAGAACTTTCTTTATGTATGCTACAACAGCAGCAAGAATACTCATTGCAAAGTATTGGAAGACACAAGATCTACCCACACTGGAGGAATGGCAGATGAAAATGATGGAATACATGGAATTGGCGGAAATGACTGGCAGAATCTGTGACCAGGGAGAAGAGTCGGTGGAAGAAGATTGGAATAAATCCAAAGACTATTTACAGAAATATTGCAAAATTAATGAATGTTAGAATGATGTTGGATTGAAGTTAAGTGGTTTCTAGCTGTACAGGCACAAAAAAACATGGGAAAATTGGTTCTTAATATGTAAAAGGTAAAATTTAAAGTTATATTATATCAAGATTAAAGATTAGGATTAAAAAGGAGGGAAAGGAATTGTTGGATTAACATATTTAATTAGAATACAGAAGAGGGAGGTAAGAGGAGGTCCGGGAAACAAGTAAACGTAAAAGAAGTGAGGAAAAGATGAAATTGTTTTAAATTGTTTTTTCTTTTTACTTTGTATTTTTTTCTTTTTATTGTTAACTTTTTTATTACTAATGTGGTTTTTTGTTTTTTTCCCCTGTGAAACTTTAATAAATATTATATATATATATAAAAAGAGCTTTAAAGTGTAGGCCTGTGCCTGGGAAGAGCAGGCCAAAAGGTAATTGTGGGTAAGCCCTTGATTTTCGATAAGAAACATTTCATAACTGGATATTTAAACGACTTAATTGTAAGATATGTATAGAAACCTGATACAAGTTTTAATCTTCTTCTAGTCTATTGTTATTTTAACTTTTCAAAAAATTTAAATTATTGTTAATTTTCCACATTGGTAATTGTATTATCTTTTTTTTTGCAAACCCTTTTGAGGTGTTTTTTAAAAATATAATTAAGCGCTGTACAGTATAAGGGACATGGGTGGTGCTGTGGTCTAAACCACTGAGCCTAGGGCTTGCTGATCAGAAGGTCAGGGGTTCGAATCCCCGTGACAGGGTGAGTTCCTGTTGTTCGGTCCCAGCTCCTGCCGACCTAGCAGTTTGAACGTGCAAGTAGATAAATAGGTACCGCTCTGGCGGGAAGGTAAACGGCGTTTCCATGCGCTGCTCTGGTTTCGCCAGAAGCGGCTTAGTCATGCTGGCCACATGACCCGGAAAAACTGTCTGTGGACAAACACCGTCTCCCTCGGCCAGTAAAGCGAGATGAGCGCCGCAACCCCAGAGTCGTTCACAACTGGACCTAATGGTCAGGGGTCCCTTTACCTTTACCTTTACAGTATGAATATACTGTCTCTGAGATTCCAACAGAAGTAGAAAGATGTCAATTTCTCTCTAATAATAATAATAAAATTTGTGTCTGTGTCTGTCTCAGGTGAAATTGTCACCTATCGGTGGGATGTTCCTGAAAGATCTGGCCCAGGACCTAATGATTCTGCCTGTGTCTCTTGGATCTACTATTCCAGTGTGGATCCTGTAAAGGTTTGCAGTTTTTCTCTAGCTTTTGTGAGAGGATTATACCACCATGCAAAGGAGCTCCCCACCAGGATGTTTATTCATACTAAGCTTACACTGTGCAAGCAAAGACCTGTGCTCACTGTACAGGTTTCAGGGACAAGGCTGAAGAGGAGGAGGAATGGTGAAGGTCACCCCCCCCCCTTCTCCTGTAGTTCCCAGAGAATAGGATGGCAGTCTTGAATTACAGCAGGGCTTTCAGGAAAACAACAATTTAGAGAGAGGAAAACAGCAGAGTTATAAGGTGTTAGGAGATGGAGGAGGGGAGGCAAAACAGTTAGCTGACACGTCACTGGATCGCATAACCAACCCTTCTCCCAAAACGCGACATTTGTTAAGGGTGCAGAACAAAGGGCACAGAGACAGTTGACCATGGATGGACGCCATAGAGGCAGGTGTTGTTGCTAGAAGGGAAGGAGAGAGGAGCTCAGTGCGAGCAATGCCATCATTGAGGAATGACTAGATTCTTCGTCTTTCACTGTGATGACTCAAAAAAAATCTTAAGAAATAACTTTCTTGTTTCCTCCCTGCTTCTTGGCACCATTGGGAGAGGGAGAGAATTCCTCACTCCTGGCAATAGGGTTGCCATATTTCAAAAAGTAAAAACCAGGACACCCCAAAGCTGTTAAGCTTTCATTTTACAAAAACACACACACACACACACAAAAAAGACAAAGTGCCACCTTTCAGAAATCACCCCCAGGTGCCAATTGCACCTTTGAAATCCCAGTAACGTCTGGGAAAATCCAGACGTATGGCAGTTTGGGAAACCCTGGTTTATAGAAATCCTTGGTTGTAGCCTGTAGAATGTACAGAGGTACCTCGGGATCCGTTCCAGAGCCCCATTCGCATCCTGAACGGAACGCAAGACGCAACAGCGCATCTGCGTCTGTGCGGGTCACGTTTCGCCGCTTCTGCGCCTGCACGTGACATCATTTTGAGCGTCTGCGCATGCGTGAGCGGCAAAACCCGGAAGTAACACGCTCCATTACTTCCGGGTTGCCGCAGAGTGCAATACGAACGCGCTCAACCCGAAGCGCATTCAACTCGAGGTATGACTATACTTTGGAGGAGAATTCTTTTGGTTCCAGAAGCTGCCCCAGCTAACAGGAATCTGTAAGTAAAAATGCTAGGATAACCTTCCCAACTTTTCTCTGCCCTTTTACCCCCAGGATGTGTTCAGTGGTCTCATTGGCCCCCTAAAGGTCTGCCGTAAAGGGACGCTGGATTTAGATGGTAGAAGGAAAGGTGTCAACAAGGAGTTTGCACTCCTCTTCTTGATTTTTGATGAAAATCAGTCCTGGTACCTGGAGGAGAATGTGCAAAAGTATGCCCAAGGGGACTGGGTTCATTCGCACCGAGAGGACGAAGAGTTTCTGGAGAGCAACAGAATGCACGGTGACTTTGTGTTATTACTTTTTCATCCTGCATGGCTGCCTGCCTTTGCCCTGGATTGCAAAGTATCGCCTAGAATTGTCTATATTAAAAACAGCACCTGGGCCATCTATTTCCCACTGTTACCATCTTGTCAAAAGTAATGTTCATATTTATTTATTTGGGTTTCTCACTGGAAAGGCTATGGGGGTAGGGGAAAGAAAGGGACCTCTCTACCGCCTTTCAACCAAGGTATTATGTGTTTTCAGAACCCACCTTATTCTGATGACTGTAAATTGTGTTAACTGGTTTTAGTATTTCAGTTTAAACTTTAGCAAACCGTCTTGGGACCTGCTGGTGAAGGGCAAGTAATAAATAAATGATAAAAGCAGCAATAACTATAATATTTATAAGATAGGCAGCAATACTTCTGATGCCCCTGGAGGGTAGGGAAGAGATGCTCTTGCAGGACCAGGCATCGGGCTCCCATACCCCAACCCATGCAAATAAGAGACCAATAAGGGACGCGGGTGGCTCTGTGGGTTAAACCACAGAGCCTAGGGCTTGCCGATCAGAAGGTCGGCAGTTTGAATCCGTGACAGGGTGAGCTCCCGTTGCTCGGTCCCTGCTCCTGCCGACCTAGCAGTTCGAAAGCATGTCAAAGTGCAAGTAGATAAATAGATACCGCTCCGGCAGGAAGGTAAACAGCATTTCTGTGTGCTGCTCTGGTTCACCAGAAGCGGCTTAGTCATGCTGGCCACATGACCCGGAAGCTGTACGCCGGCTCCCTCAGCCAATAAAGTGAGCGCCGCAACCCCAGAGTCGGTCACGACTGGACCTAACAATCAGAGGTCCCTTGCAACCTTGCCGCCGCTCCTAGACCTGTTCTGGGGTCTGGGGTCGGGGGAAGCTCGGGCTTCCCCCACCCCAGCCCCGTGGCTAAAAAGGAGAAGCCTGAAGCCCCCGGAGCGCAACGCGAACTGCCACTGCGCTCCGGGGGTTTCAGGCAGCTGTCTTCAAGCCTTCGGAGTGCAGCGCTGCGCTCCGAAGGCTTGCGGATAGCAGACTGAAGCACCCGCAGTGCAGCGCGAACTGCTGCTGCACTCAGGGGGCTTCAGGCAGCTATCCACAAGTCTTCAGAGAGCAGCTGGAGTTCTCGCTGCACTCCGAAGGCTTGCGGATAGCCGTCTGAAGCCTGGAGAGCGGGAGGGGTCGGTGCACACCGATCCCTCTTGCTCTCCAGGCTTCGCTTTGCTGGAGAGGCGCTGCACAATTTTCCCTCTCTGCGCAGCGCCCCTTCAGCGAAGCGGGAGGAGAAATGGAAGGGGCTCTGTTTCTCCTGCCGCTTCGCTGAAGGGGCACTGAGCAGAGAGGGGGAGAATTTTTTTCCCCTTTCTCCCCCTCCTATGGTCGGGTGCGTCCTATGGTCCGGTGCATCCTATAGACCAAAAAATACGGTAAATGGGCAAGGGGCGGATCTGAGGGAAGCCCACTGTCGGCTCCATCTGCTCTGCCCTCTGGCACAGCCCGTGTCCCAGCCTGCATCCTCATTAGCCAAAGCCAAGTACAGGCTGGGATACAGTTTCTGATAGGCGGAGGGAGAGCAGGGGTGTTGCAGGAAGGACACGCAGGAGCAAAGCACCTGAGATGACTTCTGTAAAGAAGAGAGGGAAAGTCGATGTGGCATAGTGGTCAAGAGTATTGGATTAAAACCGTGGAGACTGGGGTTCTAGTCCCCACTCGGCCATGAAGCTCACTGGGTGACCTTGGGCCAGTCACTGTCTATCAGCCTACCCTACCTCACAGGGTTGTTGTGGGGATAGGAAAGGAAGACATAAACCCATGTATACCACATTGAGCTTCTTGGAAGAAAGGTGGGAAATAAATGTAATATAATGTAATGTAGCTACATTATGGGATGCGGGTGGCACTGTGGGTTAAACCACTGAGCCTAGGGCTTGCTGATCAGAAGGTCGGCGGTTCAAATCCCCACGACGGGGTGAGCTCCCGTTGCTCGGTCCCTGCTCCTGCCAACCTAGAAGTTCGAAAACATGTCAAAGTGCAAGTAGATAAATAGGGACTGCTCTGGCGGGAAGGTAAATGGTGTTTCCGTGCGCTGCTCTGGTTCGCCAGAAGTGGCTTAGTCATGCTGGCCACATGACCCGGAAGCTGTACGCCGGCTCCCTCGGCCAGTAAAGCGAGATGAGCGCCGCAACCCCAGAGTCGGTCACGACTGGACCTAATGGTCAGGGGTCCCTTTACCTTTACCTAGCTACGTTATAGGGAGAGGCAACTAAAACCGTTACTGGAGTCACTAGACAACCTTTCCTAGGGAAGGTTCCTCTTTATTCCCAGATAGGGTGGTCAACCAGATCCCATTGTTTGGGGGGGGGGGGATATCCCACCCACAGAAGCATCCCAAGAGATTGTAACAGTTTCTGGTGTCTCAGAAGTGAGGATCTTAAGATCAAATATTTCAGCCTTCCCCAACCTAGTAGCCCCCATAACTGTTTTGGACTACAATTCCCACCAGCCCCAGTCAATAACTGTACCCCTGTGGGTATAAGATGGACAAAAAATGTAAGTTATTAGGATGCATTGAAAGCTTGTAATCTTTTCTGACTTTTAGGCTTCAAGGTGAGTTGTAACCGTCTTTATGGATAGCAGCTCTGTGCCATTACAAGGCGTGTAACCTGCTGAAATCAACTGCTTGTATAAACCCATGGAAAACTAACAGTGCCCCTAGCAGCAGTTTGCAATATTTCATGAAGCAAAGAGGGGTGGATTCCATTCATTCAATAAGCAGACCTTTTCTTCCTTCCTTCCTCCCGCTTAGCCATCAATGGTAAACTCTATGCAAACTTGCCTGGGCTGACAATGTATGAAGGAGACTGGGTGAACTGGTACCTGCTGGGAATGGGCCAGGAGATTGACATCCACACAGTTCATTTCCACGCTGAGACCTTCATTTATCGGGTGAGCATTTGAAGCTGTTGCTTGAATAACCTTATGACGCCATGTAATGTCAGTCTGCTGCTACCCCTACAAACTGTGGGGTCAGTGTCCTTCTCAGCTTCACCCCCTCCCCCGAAGTTAACATGAAAAGTTTTTGTTTAAAGAAAAAGCAAGCAAGGGGTGACATGACAGGCATTTATTAAATTATACAGGGCATGGAGGAAAAGTGGACAGAGAAAAGTTTTCATAACACCAGAATTCCTGGATGCCCAGTGAAGGTGAATGTTGGGAGATTCAGTCCTTGTTTATGCAGCACACAGACTGTGGAACTCACTCCCACAGTAGGCAGTGATGGCCACTGTAATGAGTATGGGTTGCTCGTGCGTAAGTTACCGCCTCTCCTGGCTATGTTGCCTGGTTAAACCTTTCTGTCTGGACAGCCCTTCACTTCGTGGCTGCCTCAGTCGCTAGCAGAATCCGTCAGTGTGCATTTCTTAAACCTTTTCCAACATAAAAGTTGTTTGACTCCAAGTCTCCTCCTACTCTCCCTGCGCGGAAGTCTTCTGCGCAGGGAGGGCGTGGGTAGCGGAGGACCCGTGCTTTCCCCGCTGGTGTCCGGTGAAGAGTCCTGGCGCCCTCTCGCCGATTCCCCCATCTGCCCCCCTTTATCCCTGGTGTTGAGCTGATTTGCTTCCCCATCTGCTGAGCTGCCTCTCTCCCTGCTGGGCCCTTCTCCAGCATCATTTGAGAGCCTTCCCTCCGCCTCTAGCTCCGATGTCAGTTCCCTGACAGCCACCAACCTGGAAGATGACTCCAGGGATGATTGGCCAAGTTAATGGAGGAGAGGGCTATCCATGGCTATTGACCACAGCAGCTGTGCTCTGCCTCCATAGTTCTGGAGGCAGCCATGCTTCTGAATACTGGATGCTGGAAATAAAGGAAGGGAGAGTGGCTCTTGTGCTCGGATCCTCCTTGCAGGTTCCGCACAGTGGTTGGCCACTGTGAGAACAAGGTACTGGACTAGATGGGCCATGGGCCTGATGCAGCTGTAGGCTCTTACGTTCTTATGACAATCCCTGTGTTGCTTCTAGAGGCAACTAATGAGATACTTACCTTTTATATTTTTGAGCCGGGGGGAACGACAACCTTTTTTATTTTATTTTTTAAATCCCACATTTATACCCCAAGGTGGCATACATTGTTCTCCCCCTCCTAATTTTATCCTCACAACAACCTTGTAGTGTAGGTTAGGCTGGGAGGCAATGACTGGCCCCCAAAGTCACACTCAGTGAGCTTAATGCCAAGTGGGGATTTGAACCCAAATAAATGCAGGTGGCGCTGTGGTCTAAACCACACAGCCTAGGGCTGGCTGATCAGAAGGTTGGCAGTTCGAATCCCCGCGACGGGGTGAGATCCTGTTGCTCGGTCCCAGCTCCTGCCAACCTAGCAGTTCAAAAGCACGTCAAAGTGCAAGTAGATAAACAGGTACCGCTCTGACAGGAAGGTAAACAGCATTTCCGTGCGCTGCTCTGGTTTGCCAGAAGCGGCTTAGTCATGCTGGCCACATGACCCCGAAGCTGTCTGCGGACAAACGCCGGCTCCCTCGGCCAATAAAGCGAGATGAGTGCCACAACCCCAGAGTCGTCAGTGACTGAACTTAAAGGTCAGGGGTCCCTTTAAAGGTAAAGGGATCCTGACCATTAGGTCCAGTTGTGGCCGACTCTCGGGTTGTGGCGCTCATCTCGCTTTATTGGCCGAGGGAGCTGGCATACAGCTTCCAGGTCATGTGGCCAGCATGACTAAGCTGCTTCTGGCGAACCAGAGCAGTGCACAGAAACGCCGTTTACCTTCCCGCCGGAGTGGTACCTATTTATCTACTTGCACTATGATGTACTTTCAAACTGCTAGGTTGACAGGAGCAGGGACCGAGCAACGGGAGCTCACCCCGTTGCGGGGATTCAAACCGCCAACCTTCTGATCCGCAAGTCCTTGGCCACCCGCGTCCCATGGGTCCCTTTACCTTTATCTAAAAATCAACAAGACTGCAGAATAAATTTACCTCTTTTAAAAAAAACAACTTACCTAATAGGTAGAAGTCACATGATTCGACTTTCCTGGCCCAGAAACCCAGCTCTTCTTGGTGCAGGCAGTAGCTTTGCAGGGGCAGCCCTCCCTGTTCCAAAGTAATGTTTGCTCTCTGGGTCCTCCCCACATGACAGAGTGGCAAGACGTACAGAGCAGATGTGGCGGACCTCTTCCCTGGGACCTTTGAAGTGGTGGAGATGCTGGTTGGCAATCCTGGAACATGGCTGCTTCATTGCCATGTGGCCGATCACATCCATGCTGGAATGGAAACCCTCTTCACAGTTTTTCCTAAGCACGGTAAGGAGAGAGCAGGTTGGTTTTTATCAACACCATTATCATTATATCATTACCATTACCATTATTTTATTTAGAGCCTTTGTCAGGGTTGTACCTAGGGGCTGGTTAGGTTGCCCCCACCAAGGGTGCAGGTCCGGGGGGGTGGGGAGGGACACACAAAAACTGAGCCTCTCCACTCTGGCACCGAGTGGCTAGAAACCCGCCTTGCCTGTCCATGCACTCAGACGGATGGACTGATGGAAGAACAGGAGGAGGAAAAGCAGAGCAGAGCCAGCCCTGATGGCCAAGGACGAAGTCACAAGAGGAGTGCAAAAGCACAGTTAAGCCGTAGAAATCTCTCCCACAGGCGGCAGTTGATGCCAAGCAACCTAGATTGCCTTGAAAGATTATTAGACAAATTCGTGGAAGAGGAGAGGGCTATTGATGGCTATGCTCTGCCCTCTACAGTCGGAGGGAGGAAATGCTTCTGAAAACCAGTTGCTGGAACTCACAGGAGGTGAGAGTGCTCTTGTGCTTGAATCCTGCTTGCAGGTTTCCCACAGGCATCTGGTTGGCCACTATGTGAACAGGATGCCGGACAAGATGGGGCCATTGGCCTGATCCAGCAGGCTATTCTTGTGTTCTTAATATTAGAATGTGGTGCTACAGACACCCATTTTATCTGGCTTGAACACAGGGATCTCTTGTGCTTATTTGTTTTGTCTCATTTCTTACCCACCCTTCACCACCGGGTCAGAGGGTGGGTAAAATATGCAATTACAAAACAAATAAAACAGTTTGCAGCCCAAGAAGGAAGTGTAAAAACTATTAAAAACAATGTGAACATTTAAAAACAGTTCCCCCATAAAAATATTTCCAGTACAGTGTTCCAGTGCTTGGGAAGGGCCATAGCTTGGTGCTTAGAAGATCTTCTTTGAATACAGGAGGTCCCAGATTCAGTCCCCAGCATCTCTAGGTAGGACTGGGAGTTGTCCCCTGTCTGAAACCTTAGAGATCTGTTTCCAGCAACTGTTACATTGGATGGACGTCATTCGTCTAAGTAGAACACAGCTTCCTATGCCATCCTTTTGTGCTTCCCAGTAGCTTCCTACTAAATTGTGTACTTTCTTTTCAGATTCAGTGCTTCTGAAGACCAATTCCTATACAGGTATGGCTGTCATTGCATCTCAGGTTTATACCCCTTTTGAGCATTCTTGAATAAGGACAATTCCCGGTGTGAAGCCTAGCAAGGCACCCCTTTTGTCCACCATTATTCTCCTTTCATTCCTCAAGTTCACCCAGTGGTCCAGGGCTGCTGGCTCCCTGCAAACCCCATGCACTGCACAGGGTTGATCAGGTTACAGTTTGGGTTCCTTCCAATTCCATGATTCTGTGAGTGCAAACTGGGAGTCAGTGTTCTCTGTGTGCACTCTACCCAGCTCCCTTCTTCCATAACCATTGCAAATTATCTTGTCAGCTTTAACCATGGTTTGCTGTTACAGTGGGGGGGGGGAGTATTTGATCCCCTGCTAACTTTGCCCATTTGCCCTCTGACGAAGAAATGACCAGTCCATAATTTTAATGGTAGGTTTATTGTAGGTGTGAGAGACAGAATAACATCAGGAAAGCCCCCAGAAACCAAGAAGACAAAAGTCAGAGATTGATGTGCAGGGGATCAAATACTTCCCCCCCGTCACTGTACATCTTCACTGACTCTGACTAGCTAACGCTAGGAAAATTCCCTCTTAGCCATGGTTTGCAAACTTGTTCAGACTTAAGATGGAATCCCATGGCAATCTGAGTTGCAGAGGTCTGGTTGCGGCCTGGATATATACTACAGGGATAGACCTGAGTGAAGCCAGGCCTGTTGCCACAACCTCTCTCTCACTGGCCTCCTAACTGGCCCATTTGAAAGGGTTTGGGTGCCAAGCCACATGGCCAATGGGGGGAGGTTCTTACCCCTCCCCCAGTGGTCGTGCTGTGCCGAAGATGGCTCACACATTGGGCCGCGGCTGCACCAGGCTGCAAACTGCTGCTTCCCAGGTAAGCAGCCATTAACCTTGTCAGCTTTAGCTACGGTTTGCTGTTACATCTTCACTGACTAACTGCATCTAATGCTAGGAAGATTCCCTCTTAACCATGGTTTGCAAACAGTGTTCAAACTCTGGTTAAGATGGAAGCCCAGTTAGCCGTTGTTATGGCTGACATCTGTGCAAACGTAACACTCCATGGAATTCAAATTGTAATACAATACAGTAATTAATAAATAAATAATTTCCAGCAATCGAAGTGGTCAAGTGGGCTAAGGACTGGTTCCAAGTTCTTTGCATGGTACAAGTAACAGGTTGAAATTTTCCTGGTAATGAAAAAGATTCCTCTACTAACCTTATTGCTCATCTAGCTATCTAACTGTGTGGAGGTTTTGCAGACTTAGTACCTGTTTTTCCTTGGAAAATGTGAATTTGCTCTTAAACTGAAAAGACAGCAGAGTGGTTGTTTGCTGCTGTCATTCTGTACTGTTAACTTCCGTTAATGCAATCTCATTTCCTCCCCACCCGCCCACAAAAAGTGACCTTTCATCATCCATTTGTCCTCAGAGACACCTCCTGAAGATGAAGACAATGGCCATCACTTTGTTTTGTTCGGGTCAAAACTGGCACATAGCCAAGTAGAGGCGACCATTATTTTCCTTGTCGTCACCGGTGTCTTGCTGTTCCTCATTGCCTGCACCTTTCTGGGAGTGATAATTTACCTGCAGAGACAAAAGAGGCTGAGACGCAACAGGAGGTCCATACTAGACGAAGGGTTCAAGCTTATGTCTACAAAAAAGCATTAACATCTGGAGAGGAGTGGCGGAGGTTTTTATGGCCTTTGAGCTGCATGCAAGGAGGAAGTGCCTTGAAATGCCTTTTGCAAAATAAAAATAGCAATAAATCACTTTAGGAGCTATGCTTCAAAACCACCCGTGATGTTGTCCTCTTAGGGAAAATAAAAAAGGAAACATCTCCAAGTGCCACCCAGTGCCTAGTTTTATACTTCCTACTCAGGACTCAAATTAAGCCACAATAAGTTTAATCAGGCACATTTATACAATAATCCTGTAATCCTCCAGAATTTGGGGAGCCAGCTGACAAGCAAGGATCAATCCGGAGGAATTTTTCATATTATGAGAAAGGAGATTGCACTAAACGTCAGGAAAAGCTCTGCAGCAGCAGAACAGACACCCTTGGAAGGCATAGGACTCCCCTTCGTTGGGGTTTTTTAGAGAGAGGTTGGATGGCCATCTGTTTGGGACTCTTTAGCTGTGATTCCTGCATTGCAGCGGGTTGGACTACATGACCCTTGGGGTCCCATCCAACTCTATAATTCTATGATTCTGTGGAACAAAGCTCCTGGATCTGCAGCATTCCCTTGGTCTTTTTTGCTCAGGGAAGCCACCCACCCTGCTGCTCTCTCTCCTTCTGCTCCTATTCGGGGGTTTTCAGACAGTCTGCTTGGCTACTATCTGCTCCAGCAGGCCTAACTGACCTTATCAGCCAACTGAAGAGAAACAACATGTGTGAGGAGGAATCTTCCCAGGGAAGCATGGGGGAGGAGGGAGCACATACTCCATGGGACTGTTTTCTCTATGGGACTGTTTTCTAACAGCAAATTCTTTTCCCTGCTTTGATCTGCTTCTATCTCCTCCCATCCCTTCATGCACAGAAAGTAAAAACAAGGAAATCATACAGTGTGACTTCTGTTTGTCTCTGCTGGGGGAAAAGAGGTGATTCTTCCTAATTGGCCATTGCAGTAAAATAGTCATGACTGCTAATTAAATGAAATGGAGGAATCAGTGTTTGATGGCTTGTGATTGTATAAACATTAGATGGGGCAAATGAGTGAAGGTGCACATTAATTTGCTGTTCTAAGTAGCAGGAGGCTTGCAATTTGTAAGCTCTGTTCATACCCCCACCCAGACAGGGCTTGAGGCAGAAAGTGGGCAGAATAGCAGCAGTGACTCTTTGTGAAGTAGGCTACCTTCCAGCCACACAGAAGCCAGAAGCTTCTACACACACACACACACACACACACACACACCCCTCCATCCAAGCAAAGAAGAGGTATTAGCACAGCTGAGGCTGAGTGCCTCTTGGGACAGGTGCTCTGATCCCTGTTCTCTGTTCAGAGTCCTGAAAGTCTTGTTTCTTGGCTGCTTCCCCCCACTTCTTAACTTTATTTTTCAGTTTCCATATATATAACAATTCCCTTATACCACCACCCAACAAGAAACATCCCATGAATATGCAATGTACAGTCAAACATTATGTTTGCAATTAGTTTAAAATTGATTGCATCAGTTAGTTGTCTTCTACTCTCCATATTGATCCAGAGTTGAGTCCTGCTCATTATTTTCCTTTCCTTCAAGAGATTTCTTGCAGGATCTACATACTCTCATTGGCTTTGCCTTGCCAGAACTGATCCATCACTGGCAGCTGAGCTTGTGAATGGATCCCAACTTTGTATTCCAACTGATGTGTAGAACTCTCCTCTACCTGTGATGCTGTTAGATATACCATTTCCCATTCAAACATGCAACAAGAAAATGTCTCAAAAGGACTTGATCTTTCAGCAAAGAGGCAAGGGGCACCAAATTTTGGCACCGCATAGGGTGCCACTGAAATTTGAGACCCCCGTTCCTCCACTGGTATCAGGCTATTATGTACTTATATCCTCCTCGAAAGGAATTGGGTCTTCAGGCACTGCTGCCATTTGTCAGAATGGACAAGATAGATAGAAACTTTATTTGCATTAGCCACTAGCCATAGTGATAAGATAAAATATACTGGGGATAGAGTTAAACAGTTGACTATACAAAATATGTTCTGGAGTTTTACATCAATACAAATGACAAAACTGATACATGATCCTTTAGCCACAGATCAAACATGTGAGCCAATAGGCTTTATTTTGATTTTTTTTAAAAAATGCTGAGCAGTGACCTGTCAGGAGAAAGCATAGACCAATGTTATCAAATAGTATGGGAAATAGCCTTATTAGAAAAACTAACCAACAAACTGAAACTGACACAAGGACAAATAGAAGAAGACGCCTTCACCCCTGTATGGTTACCCTTTATCACATACACAACCAACAAGACAACAAGAACCCGTCAACACCATGCGAATCAGCATGGCTAACCAGATCCAAACACACACACACACCCCACTCACATATGAAAACAAAGTTCACCACAGCCAATCACAAACAAACAACCACACCCTAGGCCAACCCCAACCTCTCTCACCACCAAAGGAAAACAGGCGAATAGTAAAGAGAACCCACACAAGTGACGCTGACATAAAACCCCACACGTACACTAAGTGAAACAGAAGCCATGCCCCCCTCCACCTCTTCCCCCCCTTTTCTTCCTAATGTAATACTAATGTCTCAACAAATGTAACTGATCTGTAGAAAACGTAACTTGGGAAAAGAGACATTGCACATAATTTTGTAAACCAAGAAATCTTTTATATATATATATATATATATATATTTAAAAGAGCTGAACAATGTTAAAAAAATTGATCAAATATTAGATCTTATTCTAATTGTACCTGCTAAATGTTTTGCAGTTTTTGCTGTCACCTGGATATTTTGAGCTGTCAGAAGAAAAGACATAGTGGCAATGGTTGAGTAACCTGGTATAGTAGAGGGGTAATAACCTCACTCCTCAAATCTTTATAAAGAATATCATCTAGCAGTACATGAGCTACTGATTCAATACTGCCATCTCCACATGGACATAAATGGTTTTTCAGTGGAATTTTTTTAAACCGACCCTGCAGAACAACGGAATGCAGTATGTTCAATCTTGCATAAATGAAAGCACATCTGTATTTTGGGACTGTTAAATTTTGCAAGTAGGGTGCCAATGTGTCAAGAAGACTAGGTGGGAAATAATCATACCATGGACAAAATTTCCTTTACCGTGGCCAAATTAATCTGTCATTCGATATATAAAGTGCTGCCTAATTAAATTATCTGCTTTACAGAAGCCCAATGATAATAACTGTTGTGATGAACCAGAGGAGTAAAGCTTTTGGATGACAATTTTAGTCCAGTTGCTCTTGTGACAGTCTTGCAATACTAGAGGTAGTAGACCAGTGGGGGTTAAATTCAGCCAAAGCCAATAATTAAATGTCCTATGCCAAATCTGTAATTCAACAAGTTCCCTGCACCGACTACCAAGGAATTTGATGTGCATGAGTTTAGCCATAGACTTGCCCTGGTCTGGCCACCACAAACTCTTGTGTAAAAGAGAAATTTGTTTTGGAAAGTAGTTCAAAAGAAAATTTCAGTCAGGAACTGGAGCACAAAGGTCTTCTGTAGAAATTATTAATATAATGGTGTTTACTTGATGAGCACAGCACTGTGTACTGAAATGTCCCTAAGCATACATCTACACCATTTTCACATTCACACATCATTCAAAACCAGTATTAGAATAAATCCTTTTAGCATCTGATTAAATCCTCTTGGTAATGGAGGGGCAGCCTGGAGAGAGAGGGACCTGATCAGCTCATAAATATGGATCTGGATTCTGCAAGACAACATGGGAAACAGTCTATAACTGGCCGCTAATTCACTTACCAGCCATAGGAAGAAAAGGGGGAAAAACTGGATGGTTTTGTTGCTATATAATTAAAATGTTTTTTTTGGGGGGGTGGCTGGGGCAGAAGTTACGTACATAAATGATACAGAAAACCCTGTAAACATCAGCCTCACCATTTAATAAAGTCCTCTGGGTGCTGGAGTGGAAAGACTGAGCCATTTGATAAAAATAGTTTTATCAAATGGATATTAGCATTTGATGGGCTCAATTATCCACATTTACTAGCTGGCCAGAGAATCGGTTCCACTGGATTTCCATTTTTCACAGAAGCAAGTAATTCATTATGCTGCAGGTGTCCTATGAACTGTATATACAAAACCAAAGGCTGGGTTGTTGAGTGCTTCTTTATACATGAAAGAGCTACATTGGATGAGCAACCTTTACATCAACAAACAGGCCCCTTCATCTACAGTCGAACATTCTGAATCCAGAAGTTCATTAGAGAAGCAAGGTCATCTCACCACAAGGTAAAATAGTGGAAGGGGGAACCAGAAATGACTTACACTCTGGCTCATCAGACCCATACTGACCTTCTCTGACACATCCCACTTTTTGGGGATTCTGGCGTCTCCATTGCTGCCATTAAACACACAGCAGAATCCTGACTGTTCCTACAAAGGAGTTTTCAGTTCCAGGAGTTTCTGTGGCAAGGCTCCCTCCATACACACATAGGCCCCCTGGGCCAATTTGGACCAACAATACCGTCATATTCTTAGCTGTATATTCCTGCATTGCAGGGAAATGACCCTTTGGGTGCTTTCCAACTGTACTATGATCCGAGCGCATTAAAAGTAGAGCGAAGGAGTGGGGGGTTTTGTTAAGTCAATGTTCTCTTCAAACAATGCAATTCTCACCATGTTATTATTACTTTAGATTTGATTATGGTATTCCACACTGAGAGTAGACCCACTAGGCTTAATGAAACCAAGTTAGTCACACCCAGTAACTTCAATGCATCTACTCTGAGTAGGACTAGCGTCAAGTATCACCCTATTGTTTTTCAATTTATCTGTCATTTACTGCCCTGGGATTTCAATCAATGGCCACAGCAGACTTAGAGGGTGCACACTACTGCAATACCTGTAAATTGTTACCTTTCCCTTTCTGGTCAGAGAGAGATGGAAGATATTGCTCACTACAAATTACCGGTATATGTTGTTGTCATAATTTAGATTTCCTGGGGTGGGCTGAAACAATTTAAAAATTACAATATAAAAATAAGTTGAAACAAATTGCTGTAACATGGTATGTTTAAGTTGTTGCATTGCAACCATTTGACTCTATTCTCTTGACTGTAATTTGCACGGAAACGTATTAATTGTTTTGGTGGATTTTTTTGTCTTGACTGTTGCTGAAGGATCTCCAGCTATTTAGTGTCCGTGGTGACACACAGCCTGTACTTGACCGTCTCTTTAGTTATGCAAAGGCCTATTCTCCCAACAAAAGTAAAACTGCTAAGTCAGGGGTCACTAAACCTTTGGGAGCCATTGTCCCATTTGCAAACTGGAGAGCCAACGGTGGGCACCACACACAACACATCTTGAGAGGGCATCTATGACGTAAGATGGTCCCACAGATAAACAGTTGTTAAGGTTGCTAAAGACTTTGTATACTAATAGTAAAACTTTGAACTTGCCCCAGTAGCAAATCGACAACCAGTGCAGCACTCTGAGCAGGGGGTTATAAGCCAACAAGGCCTAACTCCACTAAACAATCATGGTGCAGCATTTTGCACTAACTGCAGCTTCTAGATCAAGCACAAGTGAAAACTCCTATAGAGCGCATTGCAGTAATCCAGTCTTGCCATAACCAATGCATGAACTAGGTGGGTGTTGGGCGATGACCAGTGGCTTTTAGCAAATGAATCTGACTGAGTGATTCATCAGCTACATCATGTCAATGCAGGATGTCACTCACTTTGGACATGTGCCATGGATTTTGTTCAATTAACTACACCAGCTGTGATGTTTAAGTCACCTTTATTTCAGTCAAAGCAGCAGCCTCTGGGGAATGAATTCAGAAGGCCTCCAAGAGCAGGTCAAATTTTATAAGCTTCCAGATTAA